GCCATTTTGTGTGCTTGTCATACATTTCTAAAGCCGTGAGTACGTCTTTATTCCTGAGCATCCGTACCGGTATACTATATCCGCAGGTCGCGGATAATAATTAATAAATAAACAGCTAAGTCGCCGAGAATAGAAAAAGGCGATCTTCGCCGAGTTCGTTGCTTTTGTTATGTGCGTTCGGGAAATGGCCATCGGGCAGCGTGGTGTGTTCACTTGTGACGTAAGCAAGTGGAGGACTTATCTATTATTTCTTTATTACTGTAGCACAAAAACAAAAGGAATTTTTAGTCTAAAATTTCGAACGATTATATCCAAAGTTGAGCAATTTTGTTGAAACTTTGTACCGGTATGCCGAATACTTGAATAGCCTCGCGCTATGTCAGTATGTCGGCTTTGTACAAATAAGATAGAACTGTAGAATAAATTATTAGACTGTTATCAGGTTTTGAATGGGACGAGGCATGTTAAAGCCCTTACAAACCACAAACTGGGAGAACGCCTCCTAGTACTGCATTAACCCAGCTAGGATATTTTGTGTTTAGACTACCGGTACCTGCCTCTGTTCAGCTCTGTCAGTCTGTTTCATTAAAATACTATCGGTATCTTTTAACGATATCTGGATATGGTAGGCTATGTTTGATAGATACGATAGAAAGATGTGGCGTACATTGTGAAGAATATACATCATTCAGCAGTTATTTGTGTATTTTTCTACATATCTGGGGGTTGCTAATTCAGTAATTACTGAAATATGAAAAACACAAACTGACATAAGCAGTTAGTGCTTTAGTGAAACATAAAAACTGTTGAAGGGCAAAACAGGTTATTTTTTGTCATAAAGTCCTGAAGTCTGTGTCTTACTTCAGCAGTTTTTGAGATATTTTTTAATTATGTAAACCAACATCAAGCAGACATACATGAGGTTAAAATTTGTGAGTTTTCTTTTTTGAAATTGTGGGAGTTTGGAAATCTCTGGATTAAATGATCTTCGATTTTCTTCTCCCCTAGCACTGTAGCAATGCGACACATTTCTCTGATTCTGCGATTATCTCGATATATGTAAAATACAAGTTAAATGAGGTGCATCCTCTTGGCGTGATGTCATAATGCTGTAATATCCTCTGTTTGTTAGAAGTTCACTTTCTGCTAAATGTTTTTTGCTTATTACTCCCTAATGCTGTAGTGAAATATTTTCCTTTAATATATCGGATTACTTTTTATGATTATTCCAATGGAGACATTTTTAGATTGTGCTTTTTTCAGTTTAATAATGTGCAGCTTCGTATAGACACGAGAAAGCGAACCATGTCATGAATAAGTCATATGATTTCTGTTATATGATCAGATTGTGTCCGTACTACATGTTTTTGAAAAACTAGTCATTTGACGACCATAATATGCCCTTTGTTAAAAATAACCATTATCACAAACTTATGCCGAGATACAGCTTTCCCACAATCTGACAATGTGTTAAATTTTATATAGTAGAATGATATTTACATTGGAATTACCGGTACATACATTAGCCTCATTTATAATCTTCCATATATCAGAAACAATCCATTGTAAACAACGATTATTGTTTTTAAGAATGTCAGAACACACGCAATAAAAGGTTTAATGAGTTTTTTGTGTTATGATTATAGTAATATTCTGTTTAATGGTACATATCTGACCTTCTAGACCAGTGGTTCACAAACCATCGTCCCCATACAGTAATATATACAACTTCATCGTCCCCCAGTTTAACATAAAAAATGAAGTCAGAAACGAATATAATACAGACCAAATAAACAAGACAAATTATAGTTCTTAGTGTTTGTAATGAGATAGATTAGCTTGGTAGTCTTCCAGAGAGTTTTTTTTAATTTTTGGTAACATTTTCATCAGGCACAATCTCAAATCACCTCGTTTACTAAACAAATGGCGATTTCGTTGTTTTGATAGCAATAGTTTCATTATTAAAAACCCCTTTTCCACCATATAAGAAGTCGGAAATGAAAGAATCCAGAGTTATGCCTTCCCCAAAATCGCCGGGTATACTTGCCCGATGGTAGAATTTGTCCTCGATTCCTCATTATGTGTGTTTCCATTTGTCTAATTATATTCAAATTGAAGGCTCGTTAAACGAGTTCACTAAATTATTAGGTTATAATATAATAATTTAGTCTAAACATGTTTCACAATAAATCCTGTTACGTAAAAAATATCTACTCCTCGAGCATAGATTAAAAAAATAATTCATTGTCTAACCCGCCATTTGTCCCTATAATTCAGTGCAGCGTCGCGAGCCGGATTATTTTACCCCGCGGGTCGGGTCTGGCCCGCGGGCCGTTGCTTGCCGACCCTTGGACTATGCAATATACGTGGAAGGAGTCAAGAAATCCTCTTGCATGTGATTATCAACCACAAAATTCAAACCTGCAAACACACGCAGAGTACAGTAATCAAATGCACAGTGCGGCGAACAAAAACAGGTCCCACGAAATCGCCCCCTTCTGTGTCGATTTCACCCACCGGGGGGCGATATTGCCCACTTTGGGAATCGCTGTTCTAGACTACAGAATTTATTTTGCTTCGAGTGTTAGGTTATGTTTTCATTCAAAATCACAGTTTTTTAATTGACTACAAAGCATACAATTATGACTAACTTAGTACCACCTAAAATGTTTTGGGGGTATTTTTGCTACAAACAGTTGGAAATTATGTATTCAAATGTGAAGAATTAAAACTGTTACTTCATATTTTTGTGTGTAGTTTCAAAAAATAAGTTTTGCATTTAGTGACATTGGTTCAAGTTTAATTCATGCACTCCTTAATCTTTTTAAATTACAAAGACTGATCTAATGTTATGTTTTGAGTTATGAAATAGTAAATGCAAAATCACGATAGGTCATATTTTAGCATCAACTATTTAAAAAAAATTGTTTCCGGATGAATTCAGCAGATTCAGGAGGCGGAATTTATTACTGTAATTTGAATTGTAAGCAACTGGTACTGTCAGCATATTATGCACACTAATTTAGTGTATAGCATTGTTACCTATTTGGCATGTCGGTGTTGTATGCTATTTTTGTATACATAGAAATTCTATCAATTGTCTCTATTTGTGTTACTAGTTTTCAGTTTTTCATAATTTGTTATCTCAGGGTTCTTAGTAGTGTGTGCAGCAAGGCTCTTGAATGACATAGAATAGTGATCTTTACCTTTTCTGAAGCATCCTGTAATTTTTGTATTGGGATTCACCACCATAAAACCGTAAAGGAAAGGTTAGGTTTTTAGGGTCCATTAGCCTTAACTTGCAATGATAGTTACGGTAAATTCTAAATCAGTCATCTATTTTATAGCATGGATAATATTATATTATCATAGCATGCAATATTATAGCATGGACGCTTGCCTTATTAAAACAGATGCAATATACAATACATTAGTAAAAGTTTGGACGATATAAAGTAAGATAAGTGGGTGAAATAAAAGATTATATTTAGAATATTGATAGTCATAATGATTGAGATTGTTAGTCAATTGTATGAAAAATCCTGCGTCAGTACCCACAGGGACGGATTATTGGATCTAAAAAATCTGTTAAATTGTAGATATGGGCGCTCGTGATTAAGAGAGATTTGTAAATCAGATTTTTTTCTATTTTGGTGATAATTATTTTGAGAAATTTTGTAAATTCATAGAGTTTACAATAATTTTTTAAAATTCATTATGGGTAGAAAATTTCACAAGTCTTAAGGTTTAGGACTGAAGTTGTCGACAGTAATTATACAAATGCTGTATAGTCATGTTGACACTTTTCACTGTTGTGATGTCTGGATTTAGCTTTTCAGATTGTTTACAAACGTATATGTGACATAAATTTATTTCCTCCTAATGCATCTTATGATTGATACACAGTGATTGATTAATGCCAAATTGTGTATTAGGATAATTATAAATGTTGATCTGTGCTATAAAGAAAGATTATTTTGTAAATATTTAACCAGGGATGACTACAATGAATCGTGGTGGTTGTTTAGTAAATTCTTGATCGTAGAAATGTTTTTAAATTTAGATGTCTGATGATCTGATTAAAAAGAGACTCTGATCTAACTTCTTGCCATAAAGATAAAAAAAATCAGTCCAAAAATTTTTTTTTGTAAACATTCTGCATCACCAAACTAAATTTTTACGAATTTACAATAATTTGTTCAAAAATTTCTGTATCGAATACGACCCAATTGGTGATATACTCGATATTCCATTCCTAAGAATATTTTTAGTATGTTCCAAAATGGTACATGATTTGGTATTTGTCATCTCTTGATAACATTGAATTCAAACAGATGCTAGGTACAACAAGTTATTTTATCACATTATTTTATGCGAATTTCACTATTTATTATTTATTGATAAGTCCGTAGCTAGCTATAGCTGAAAAGCAGTTTGAAACCATATCTGTTTACTGTATATTAGAGAGCTAGAACAATGTCAAGAATTTTTGTTGGTATATCCAAGTGATTATTTTCCTATTTTATTATACTTATATATATTCTAATAAAACTCCACAATCTTATGGCTCAGAATCTGAAACTAAAATAATAAACCACTAAGCTGATATCTAGAAAATATACCGAGGTTTGCTACATGCTTGAACCGCCACAATAAGTATCATCTTTCCTCTTCTGGCATTAAAGATTGATACCTTGTTTTTATACCATTTTTACACTAGAGAGTGTTACTGGCTGGATGCTAAGTCACACTCTATTGGTTACAGAGATATGGTGTCAGTATATCTTACCAATGTTACAAATCCTATACTATTGAATTATCACAGCATATTGGATGTGATTGTACTTATTTAATTCCAAAAGTCTGCTTGAACTCTTTATTTTGACATGAAGTTTATTTGTATACCATATATCAGTGAGTGAATTTCAAGCATAGGTTACTGAAAATTACTAATTGAATGTATATTCCCTAATTTCATGAATTTATATCATTCCAGGTTATAGAATAAGATACAGGTTACATTTTGATCAGTTAAATTCATTACCACGACAAATGTTTGGAAGTAAATAAATATTGATAAGGGAGCAGTAATCAACTCATCTGACCAACTAGTTTACATAAATATTAGGATAGCAAAGGGATGCCAATCTCTGTTGATAGTTCCTCCAGCAACCTTGTGGAAACAGGTACAATACTGAATTATAGATATAATAAAAACAATGTTTACTGTATTTTTTCAACAAGTCCAACACAAGGTCAAGAAAGTACTTGATGAAAATCGTTGAAGTGGCTAATTCAGATCTTGGTGTCATGAAATAATAATGATCTCTGTGACATAGTTTATCATACTATGTTCAGTCTTTTCATTTTGCTGACCAGAGGTTTGACTGAAGATTTTTGATTTGTCGAATATTTCATGATGTTCAAATCTAATGATACCCAAGACGAATGTTGTTTCATTGCATTCAAAAATTTGTTCATTTGATGTAGTTAAGTCTTGATTTTAGGTTTAATTTATACTAATATTATTTTAAAAATTTGTCAATCCAATATTTTTGACACTGTAAAAGATCATCATAGCCCTGTTCTTCCTAAACATTCAAATATTCAGCTCTATCAATTTCGGAGATCGAAAATATCAAGGGCAGGGCTATTCAACTGGCAGACTGCGGTCCGAATCCGGACCTTTCGACTATTCAATTTGGAATGTCTGCTTATTTATTTTGGCAGCATAAGCCTCGTTTTATAGTTTTAGATGATATTTGATACCATTTTCATACACAACTATACATTTTGTCGTACTGGCACCGATGTGCGACGTTTGTATCCAAATTTGTGAGTTATTCATTCATTACATTTGAAGTTTTGTTTATTTAATGAAATAAATTTGCTGTAATGTCTGGACCCCAGTAAGTTTGAAGTTTTCTAAATGGACCTTTGTAAAAATAGTTGAGTAGCCCTGGTATAGGGTGCCCATAAAGTCCTAAAAAAATTTAAAATAGCAAAGGGAATTTATCGTTTTGGCTGACTTCATAGCAAAATTAAAATTGTGAAGGGATTTTATGGACACCTTGTATATTCAATAGTTAAAAAAATGCATTTCTAATAGTAAATTGATTTTATATTGGTTATTTGTACGTGCCAACCTTCATGTAGACGTCATATTATGTTCTTATATAAAATATAATTGTTCAACTTGTATAACGCAACATTTTAATATTATTGACGTAATTATTTTTACTCCTTTATATGGAAATACTTATCAAAGAAAGGTGGCAGAAGTTTTTGTTAATATATGATATATATCTGTAGGGAATCCTGATTTCAGTGTTTTTGATAAATTATTTTCAGGGGAATATTCTGTTTCTACACCTGTGGCAGCTAATGGAAGACAAGTACAAAATGATGGCTGTGCTTTAACAATGAATAGTAAAGATGTGAAGCAGTTGTATAATTTTGAAACGGTATTTTTGATTTAATCATATTTGAGAATTCGAATATTCAGTCACAAGTCCATATAAATGTGTTCCTTTTCTGTAATTTTATGTTGATGCATTGCTGTCACTGAGAGACCAATAGAATGTGATGTGATGACGATTTTGGTGATGTCAAAAAAGATATTGAGTATCGTTCATTAGAAAGCAGTTTAGTTAATTGAAAATTCTTGTTGGTAATGATTCATGCTCAATTGTATAATGTACATCTCGAGTTCTCTTTGAAATTAAAGAAGCCTTGATACATGATCTATGTAATTTTATATTTAATTGATTTATTTTAAAAGAAAAAATGGTGTAATGGACGGTACATGCTTTGCTGTTTTGTAACAGAATTTTATGTTCTGATTGATGACAGCAAAGAATTTGTTCTGTTTCCCTTGTGCCATATATTAGCTTTGTTCATAAATGTAACACATCAATAAGTTATACCAATTTCATCTTTCAGAAGCTTTCATATTTAATTTGTCGAGATATGTCATCTTTTGGTAAAAGTATAATTAGTCAGTAATTGACTATGTATAAGGTACTTCTAATCACCCATATGTTACCAAATTACAAACAGTTTACATTCCAATAGAGCATGTAAAGGATAAAGTAGTTCTATTATTCATTATGCTTAAAAAACATCGTTTTTGCTTGTTGTTCAATGAAATGAAATTTCCGCAATGAAATTCCTCTCTGACAAGTTGTGGTTGAGAAACGTTGTCATAAAAAATAAATTTTTGTGAATTATATCGATTTTATATATTTTAATTTTCCTGAGTGCATTCTTATAATCTAGTGATTTTATTCAATATTTTACATACAGTTTGATGATGAACCTCAAGCGTCTGTTTATTTCCCTCCAACGAGTCAGTCCCCACCTATTCTTGTTCATCTTCCTTCAACAACAAGTCCAGAATCGTCATCTGCTAGATATAGTCCGACAACGAGACGTTCACCTAGTTATGAGTATCGGGACGGATTGAGGCGAAGACCAGGTATGGTATAAAAAAATTTCTATCTTGATTGAAGGGTTCAAATCAGATGGGCATATGTTGAATTTTTGAAAAATAATTTATTTGAAAATATTGATAAAAGACGGTTCTTTTTAAGCTGGTCTTTAATCAAAGTTTGAAGCAATTTTCACCTTATTTTCTTGAAACAGCTCTTTTTAAATTGTTGTTCATGCGTTTCTGTTTCCTTGTTTATTATGTCATAGACTCTCAGATAAATTTTTTTCACTGAGACACCGAGATAAATCACAAAAACCATGTTCTGCCTCTATTCTGTTATTATTATTTAAAGCATACATGCTAAAACTATGAATTTTTCATAAAATAATAGCAAATAAATTCTATATATTTATACAGAAAATTGGGTACTCCCTAAGTATGTGTACCGGTTTAGGGTTGGGCCATAATTTTATTCCTATTTTCCTTATTATCGTTCGATTACAAGCTCAGGGACTGTCTGTGTTAGCCAAGTGAATATCCCTCTGCCCCTAGATTTCAGTTCCGATTATACAACTTGATGTAAAATGGGCGAACAAAATAAGTTACCTCCATATTGGTACACATACTTCTGGAGCGCCGAAAATTGCAATTTGTATTTTTTTTATCATCTATTCAGAAAAGTTATAAAATTGGAGGCCAATCATGCATATTTAAACTAACATATATCTAATTTAATTAATGGACAGTACAATACTAAAAACTAGAAAAAATATGAAAATATTTTTCATTTTATTTTTTATGAATATTTTAATCTTACAGGAATCGATGTGCCGACTGATTTGACCCAATTCTCAAGTGCTAGAAAGGTGAGCTGATTTTTGTTACGGTTCATTAACTGTGAAAAAAATCGTACTGATCAATTTCCCTATCAAAATCATCTCGCTTTATGCTGTTAGTATTTTCAAGAAAACATGACCACATCGCTGAAAAACGTTAATTCAGATGTTACATGCTTCTTGCTGTAATGAACTCAACGGCACGCATCAATATGTCTGACGTTCGTCATATTTACCTCACCAGGAAGTAATATTCTCTAAAGATTGATATCTTCGAATTTGATCTATTACTGCTTTTCAGTCATGTTTCCTTTTTTATTAATATATATTATTCTCATATTTACTTTACATTAAATTTTGCATTTTTTTTTACAGTCTGAAAGCCCAATTCGAAAACGGGCTCGGACCATGTCTGAAGATCGTCATATATGTGACAACAACGGAGCTTCATGCAGTGAATCGACTGTCTATCATTGTGCTCCTCCGTACCAGGCATTAGAATGTCCTGCTAGTCCTGTGTCACCTATTGATTCGGATTTAGACCAATCGGAATATCCGTTTCATCCCTCCAGTGCTCACAATAGAATCAAGATGCATGAATATGAGGTATGTTTGTTACCAGTTGAATAACATTATAGTGTTTTGGATGAAATAATATGCATAATTGTTGTTGTGTGGAAATAATTTTCCTTCGCAACTATTGGACCAATTGATTTTATTTATCATCGTAAAATCCGACTGTATCTCACTCCAAACTTACTGTTTTTATTTTATTCATAGACACGTCAATTTTGATGGTACCTTGTGTCATTATTGTTCTCCTGTTATATCTGTTTAATAATGTTTTGTAATATTGTTTTTCCTTACTTTTATTCCTTTGGTAGGCCTATGTTACAAGTTTAAATTATTAAATAAGCTACCTGGTGCTCGGTGTTAGAATTGCATCTATTGACTTCAATATACGGTGCTCTCAAAGTATTGGTACCAAGATGGCGCACAACCTGAACATAGTGTATGTTGTGTAAGGTTGTTCAGGTTGTGCATCATCTTGGTACGAATACTTCGGGAGCCTCCAATATACAGACTTCTTTTTAAATCATTATTCTTTGTTCTACCAATTTTGGATATTTTATATAATAGAATGTCGTACATCATTATTTTGTGTTTGTGCATTTTTTATTCAAAAATTTGGTACACTAGTTCATTTCACTTCACATTTCAACAAATTAAGCGATGAGAAATAGCATTTACAATTATTTGCTTTATATAAAATATTTTAATTGGCCCAATTTCAAAACAGTCCATACTCAAAACAGGATATTGGGCTACCTTTTTATTCATGCATGATCGAATTTGGTTCATCTTTGGGTGCTCCAGAAGTGTGTGTACCAATATGGAGGTAACTAATTTTGTTCGCCTACTTTACATCAAGTTATGTAAAGGGACTGAAACCTATGGGTAGGGGTTATATTCGATTGGCTAACACAGACAGTCCTCGAACTCGTAATAGAACGAAAATACGGAATAGGCTATCAGAATAAAATTATGGCCTCACTCTAACCTAGTACACACATTACATGAGTACCCATCTTTGGTATTAAGTTAAGTTACAAACTTTATTCTCTCTAATCTAATCATTTCCTATTGACAGACTCATTGTCATTCCCCGTTGCAACAAAGAGATGAGGCTGCTTCTCTATTTAGTCGACATCGACCTACTGGTTTAGCGGAAGAAATATATGTTCATGAGATCGAGTAAGCATCTGCATTTTTTTTCTTTGAAGAAAACATTATGATATTCTGGAATATTTCCTATCATTTGTCTGCTCATGCTCGGGTTCAAGCTTCAGACTCACCTTCTCACCCAAGGTCTAATAAATTTGATAGGCGATACTAGATTGGGGAAATTATAGTACTTCAAGAAGAGTGGTTCATTATATGTCAGTAGAAGAACCTTCAGAGTTAAAATACCTACTTTTAAATTTTCAGATTTTGAAGAAATTTTGAGCACATAATATAGAATTATTAGTACAGAAGAACTATCAAAAAAAAAATGATCTGGATTGTTTATGTTCCAGCAGATATATTCAATGTAATTTGATAATGCAAATGGTTTTATTTTTTTTTACTGTGAGAAGTTGAGCAAATTCTTTTTTTTTCTGAGCAGCAGAAATTTTAATGTTCAAAATGACAAATTTTTAAATGAGCTATGCTACATTATTTCTGACTAAAGATTATCGAATATATTTCAAAATACTAATATACTAAGACATTTGATTCATTGGGGAATCCTTGGCTGACAACTTAATGTTTATTGTACAAACATACCGACTTATTTCTGACTTTAATTTTCACAGTGAAAGAACAATGACAGATCGTGTCCCACCCCCTCATTCCCCCCCTCTTCCTCCACATCACCCAGCAGTTGTTGCAGAAACTTATACGCCAGAGGATTCACACACACCAACACCTCGTCGACCCTCATTGAGTGGGATTCATGGAAATTATTCAGAAGATGAGATTCCTCCGTTATTAGATGCTGTCACAGATGTTCCTAGTCGAGCTGAAGAGCAAGCAACAAACCAATACACGAGAGGTCGACTTAATGGCATGAGTGGTACGTTTTATATATAATTTAAACCAGGGGTGTGCAACCTGTGACCAGCGGGCCAAAAGCGGTCGTCAAGGAATAATTTAGCTAATTCTGAATGATGTGCGGCCAGTAAAACTACTTTTTAATTTTGTGCGTCTGAGTAATTCCAATCCCTTTGCATTGTGAAGCCTATACCCTGGTCCCACTTTATTATCTATACTTATGAGACTTTACAATGCCTTAACAAAATCAATAACCAAAATTTTTGGCTGCAACTACTAGATAGCCTATGCCCTATGTCAAGGTTCGGGCCGCGGTTTTACCCAGTTATTTCTATCTAGTACTCCTGTATTAAAGGTTGCACAACCCTGATTTAAACTGTAATATGTTATAGGAGAATTGGCCCAAAACAAAGGCATGTTCGCTCATACAGAAGTCTATGTAACTTCCATGAGAACGAAGCCACAGATAACCGCCAATATGCTGAGATAATTGAATTATGGCACAAAGTCTAAATTATGTTGTGCAGTACTTGGGCAGTTTGGGTTTATATGCTCAGGAAAACAAGTATATTGTAGTGCATTTCTCATAATTGACTAAGTTTGTTGTACCACTGTTATGTTTGAAATTCAGGGGATTGATCCAGGAACGAAGTTATTGTGAATTGAAATTGTATAATACATTTCCCAACTCCGTTATTTGAAATATCACAAAATCACAATTTCTATCTACAATCTACCAAATATGTAAAAAAACAGAAATAACGATAGAATAATACTCAAATATATGGAAACAAGTCTCGCGCTACCTTAAAAATAACTAGCTAACAATACGCTACAAATAACAGATAGTAAAAGTATATAGTGAAAGTATGTTTCATTCAAAAAACAGGTTGAAAATATAGGGATGGAACGTAAATAATGGAATAAATGAAAAATTATGCCTGTTAAAAACAAATAAGAGGGGTAAGATCGAATCTACCAAATATTTTTATTTTTAACTAGCTTCACAGGCCCTCAAAAAGTTGTCAACGGCCCACTTGGGGGGCGCGTCCCATCGTTCGAGAACCTCTGCCATAACAGATACAAACCACTTAATTTGGCTAAAAATTTTTTTTATCCATATTCTACATATTTCTAATTCTTGGATCTATCGTTACTATATTTTTACACAGCGAGCTCCTTGCAATATCAAAAATTTAGTATTTTAAATATCTTGAATTTTAAAATTTTTTTTTCAGAAAGCGTTGTGTCTTCAGTCATTCGTCATACGAATAATACCAGATCGTCCCATCCTGTTTCAATTCCACGACAAAACTACAGACAAGAGCATCGAGCACCAGTATACCCTCGTGATCCAAACACATCACAACGCCACACTAGCAGCTTTCACACTCCTAATTCTACAAGGCAGATGTCTCAGGTACCGGTAACTGGTTATCACATTTATATTAATTTGACGTTGCACCCAATGCGTTATTGCTCCACCAATTCAGATTTAGAAGTTTTTGACATGAAAGTATGTTCTGTTTTCAAATATGCTGTATTAATTTTTCATTTTAAAAATAATATAACACGGTTATTATGTTTGAAAGGGTAATTTAAACAATGCTTCTCAATGTTAAGCTCATGAGGGATAAGGAATTGAAACACACTGCTATTTATACCTTTCGAGATTTATTTTACCTCATTTTTGTTTCCAACGTTCAAACATTTTTATTTCTCTTCCAGTACACAATGCAGTCTCCTTCATTTTCTGTTGGATCTCCAGGATACACTTGCACATCAAATCCAAGGATTGGAGGTATTAGACTCGAACCATTTCTAAATTATTTGTTAAACTATAGCAAATAATAACGTACAAGTATCTCAATTCAACAACAGTCATTAAAAATTATCATTTAATGATAAAGGGAGTGCATTTTTATTAAATCTTGTGCTATGATATGGGTACCATTTTATGCAGATGCGCCACTTTATCGTAAACCTCGTCACATTATAAAATTATCTAAATTTTGTTCAGGTGCGCCCACATCATTGCACAGCAATATGTCTCGACATCGACCAATACCGTCTTATTCAGAGTACAGAAGCCATCCGTCCGTGAGTTCGACTCCACCTTCGCGTCACCCGAGAACGTCCAGGCCACCGAGACATAGTAGACATATGGCCAACGGTAAGAGCCTGGAGGACTTTAGCTGAATAGTTCACTATTCTAAATACATTCTAAAACAATATTTTTAATTTTTGAATAAATTCACATTGCGTTATGTGAAAATGATAAATAAATACAAATAATGCTAATTTATGGTAATACACTTTGAGAAGGATTGATTTTTTTATACTTGAATATTCAGAAGTTGAATAATCTTTATTTATTGTAAAATGCCAAATACTCGGAATACCAAATTTCTATTGAAAAGTATTCTTAATTATTACTTTTGATCGAATGTATTCTATCGGGTGGTTATCTATGGGTAATAGTGATTAAATCGAGTCAATGTTTCGAAATGTTACAGTTCAAAGGCCAGGCAACACCATACCTTCTACTACATTGTGTGCAGCAGTTCCCGTCCCATACTTGAGTTCAGCTCAGCCTTTTCCATCAGGTTTATATGGACCACAACCCCAGCATACACCTTCTATATATCATCATCAGGTGGGTGGATAATTTCAATTTATATTCTACACCAGTGGTTCCCAAACTTTTAGGCCACGCCCCTTTTTAGAATTTGTCAAGTCTCGCACCCCACCTCAAAAATAACTAGCTAACAATAAGCTACAAATGACATATGGTAAGGCGAAAGTATGTTTTATTCAAAAAACACATCTGAAATACGTGGATAGAACGTAAATAATGAAATAAATGAAAAGTTTTGAAACGTAAATATCCAAAATAAGGCGGGCAAGATGAAATCAACAATTATTTTTAATTAGCTTCACAGCCCCTCAAAAAATAATATACGCCCCCCTTATGGGGTGCACCCTGCTATTTGAGAACCAAGAATGTTTTTTAGATTTATTTATATTTATCATCGAATTCATATTTACCGGTTCACCGCAATTGTGTAATTTTTAGTAAGTGTAAGATTTTTGATAACAGTTTGTGATGTTTCTACCATTTTTTCAGACAATGCAACCACAAGTTGTAACAAGGCCTCATCCATTCTCAATGGCAGTTGCAGCTGCTAATCATTATGTGCAGGCACAGATGGTATGTTATCTCTGGCAGCAACATGACATCGGCTGATCTTAATTTTTTTTTTTCTATCATCTTAGTTCTATGGCGTCGATATTTCAGCCAAGATTTTGCTTATTCAATTCAAGAGATGGAACACTTTGTTATGACATTTGTGTCCATGAATTTGAGCAATGCCAAATTATTTACTACATTGAGGTGTTTTTAAACATTCACATGAAACAGGCCTCTGTAACATCAACCACTGATATCTATTATGTATTTAGTACACACTGGTTGAGAATTTAAAACTGATTCAAATACCTTAATAACCACACCATAGCGTCGGAAAAATTACTTCAAGTACTGAATTTCTGTTCATACATTTGTGTTAACTTATACTTAAGCTTGGATAATTAAATATGGCCATATAGCCTTGTTATTGTACATAATTTATTATTCTTTATTTTTCAGCATCATCAGTCCCTAACTGGTTACACTCAACACATGAGACAACCACAGATCAATCAGATGGATAGAAGACCTACTGTTGTCACTGCCAGTGGAGCCGTACAACAATCTGCCGGTCCACATATGCCAACCGCACCTTTCCCAATGCCTGTGGCGGCCGCTGCTTATTTACAGGTTCGTAACAGGAATTAAATTTGCATGAGAAATAGGATGGCCAAAATCGCATAATCTAGTACAGAATTTCCAATCCTGAGGGGCGCAGACACCTGAGGGTATGTGATGACTGCACAGGGGATCCGCAACGATATGAAAGAGTCTGAATGAAACTCTTGAATTGTCGTTAGCCTTCCAGTATTTAACGTTAGTATGTATTGATTCAGACTTTCTGGAGTTTTATTTTGTCAGGAAATGTAGGAAAATCAACATAAACTATGATTTTTTGGGATCTCGATTTTTACAGTTTTCAGAAATAAAGGCTTTTCGGTCATACTGTGAGACTTCAATTAACGAAAATGTCAATTTCACAAATGATTTTATTGTGAAATCATGAATTCAAAATATCAAATCTAAATATTTATTAGTCAACATATATATTAGATGAATTTTGAACTTTATTATCTTACATTATATATATATAATTAAAAGTCAGTCTATTGTTCTGGAATATCTCTTATTACAATTTAAAATGTTGTGAATAATATTTAGTAAACTTGTTATGCAAGGTGTTTCGGCATGTAATATTTTGAAACACAATAATTTTGCTCCATATAACCAATGTCTCCTAACTATCTTAATTAGATATTTTATTTAAAAAAAATTAATTCTTCAAGGTCATTGATACTCAAAGTGAAGGTTCACAAATCTATTTGCAAGGGTGATTCTTTTGTATATTTATCTTATTTCATATGATTATTTATTTTCGTTTAGGCTGTTGCCCCACCTCACCCACACCCCCATGCTCATCCAGCATTACATCCTGCTGCTCATCTTGCAATGGAAAGACGTTACATGGCCAGTCTGGAGAACCATATACAACAGGTTAATATCACTGATATTCGATAATCTAGTCTTCAGTGCTCTGATTTTCAATCGGTGTTTCGTGGCACTCTAGGGTTCCAGTATATTATTCCTATGTATTTGATTATACCTAAACAGTATTCATATAATATTATAGACACTTGGTTTTCAATGTATAATTGCATAACTTTAGGTTGAAAACCACCAATCTAATCAATAGTATACTTAGTTTGCTATTTTTGCCTCAACTTTTTTTAGAATTGCTCCCTTGGGGATAATGAAAATTTCAGATGTATCAATATTTAGTTGTAACATAATTACTTCAAACCATTTTTTGATTAAATATTTATTTTCAATTTAGCTCAACTCTCTCAACCATGATCGACGAATACCAAGCCAACCAAGTCGTGCTGCTCAGGCTGCCGTTGCAGCAGCTGCCATCCAGGCTCCATTACTGGCACATTGGCACATGCATTCAGCTCCGTCCCTGCCTCGGATCATTGCATTCCAACCGTATGTTGTTTTTGTTTAATATGAGTCGTTCATAGGGAATAGTAAAGTTTTATTGCTGGAGAGATGATTGTTACTTGAGACTAAGAATAATTATCAACAAAATGGCATATGAGAGATGTTTTCAGGTCGTTAGCCTAGTACGGTGGTTTTCAACCTTTTTAGTGCCATTGATCCTTCCAGTAATTTGTATTAAATTTTAGATCTTTGGCTAATTTGAGTGAGCAAAATTTACCCCGAAACTATGTATACCCAAACTGTCTTTTCCATTGTGCTGTGTCACATATGAAAAAGTGTGCAAGTGACATGCGCTGTAATAATTCATCGTGCAACAGAGGATATGCAATCCCAACATTGTCGCAATCTTTTCTGTGATTCACAAGATTTAAACCCTGTAAACCAGGGTGGGCAAACTTTTTGGATCAGTAGCCAAGAATATTGTCCACCTAGACTGGCAAGCCATGTATATGTGTAAAATGTAAAAAGTTACATTCTTTGAACAATATTTACAGTGTTACAAAAGCAAAAGTGGGAAACAACGAGTCTAGTGAAAACTAAATTTGATTACAATCTCAACAAATTCTTTAAGCTATTTTTTTACCAAAATTTCATTTGGTATTGGTTTGGTTGTGGCAGCATCGGGCGGGCCAGATTGAATTACTCAGCGGATTGTAGTTTGCCCATGTGAGCTATAATAAACTAACCATGCAATTATAATTTAAAATGTTTAGGCCTCCAATAACACCTGGATACATATTCAATCCTTTTCCTGCAAGATTTCCCGTTCTACCTGACGATGGAATTGGTGAAAACTACGAGGTTTGTTTCAAATTATCATGCTTTAATTTTATTTTCCCTTTATGAAAATCGGGATATTTAATTTACTGAAGCTCAAAAGATGATAAAATACTACTTTATGGCAAAAATTGTCAGCCTGATTTAAAATAAGTATGAATAAAACTAAACCATACCTATATTGGTCTTATTTGTAATTAAATGTTTTGCAGATATACTATTTAATAACTTTCTTTTTTCTTTTTAAAATCAGTATTGGGGTTATTAGGTCATAGATTCAATTTTCATTGTTTTATTCATAAATAAAGCAGTATTGTTTGTTTCAGGCGCTCTTCAGTCTCACAGAGCATCTTGGTGATGGAAAACCACAAGGATTATCCAAGAATCAAATTGAACATTTATTATCGTATCGATATAAACCAGATAATCATCAAGGAGACCAAACTATGTAAGTCTTTGCTACTTGTATCATCATACTTATTTCATCGATCGTTGAGGTTTACTGGAGTCAATACTTTACCCCTAATATTACACCACGTAGCATCACATTAGAATTGTCCCCTATCTTCCAAAAATCGAAGCAAAAGTAAATATTGTCGATTTGATTTCAAATAACGCTGATTTAACGCAAGAGGGAGGTTTTAAAGTCCCGGCGTCACTGTGACTTATTCCTGACTCCACAACAACACAAACAACATTAATGGGATGGAGGAGGTCGCTTTTCACTGCACAATTTATCAATTCGTTGAGCAATTTGTGACAAGCAAACTCGTCACAAGGTCCCCCACTCTACTGCAAGGATCACCCTGTATTTTGTCATCATAACCAAGAAGATGCAATGGCTTTTTGATTGAAATCAATCATTAAAGATCGATCAGACTCTTTTCATATCGTTGCGAATCCCCTGTGCGGTCATCACTGACCCCTCAGTTTGGGAAACCCTGGGTTAGGACATTAACTGAATGTTTAGATGTGCCTTGGGAACATTGGGTGGTCATTGATATTAGTGCATTATTATTTACAGCTGTGTCGTATGTATGTGTGATTGGGAACCAAAACAACTGATGCGTGTCCTCCCGTGCAATCATGAATTTCATGCAAAATGTGTCGATAAATGGTTAAAGGTAAGGTTTTTCATTACACAGCATGTATTTGCAATTCACCTTAAAATTTGAAATTTACGCTAAGGAATGTTCTCACTTATCCATCATAGTTAATGTTAACAAAATTGCACATGAGGAGGATGTGTGGATCATTTTACTAAATTAATGGGAAAATCAATTTTAAATTCATTTTTTTAATTCTAGAATATCTATTTTTTTTCCAATTCTTACTGCGTACTGCAGTGGACCACACTGCATATAATTGACACTAGATGGAGCCCTTTACATGCTGTCTTTCGGTTAAAATTTACTCCTTTCCTTTCATTTAACAGAGCAATCGTACTTGCCCGATATGTCGTGCAGATGCAAGCAAACTGCAACGACATAATCGAAGGGAGAAAGCAGCAGCACATGTTGCATAGCAGGATACAGAAAACGAAACTTTTCTTTTATTTGTAACTCTGGCCGGAGAAGAATGATACTATTGGATTATGATTGGCCGAAAATGAGTAGAGTTTATATTGACATTATCCCAGCGGAGGATATTATGGTGATGATTGTATACTAAATGGAAGTCACAAGGCAGCATTTTTTTTGTGTTAATCAGCGTCAACTTCTGATCGCTTTGCCAAATATTTGCATTTGTGTATAATTTTTATTTAAAAGGGAATTGAAATTGTATAATTCTTTCAATATAAAACTACTCGGAAACATGAAATATCATAGGTGAAAATGTAAAAAATGAAGAAAAAACTCAACAAAAAAATTCAAGTATAATGAACTTATCAATGTTCAACTCATGTGTATTTTCATTGTCATATCATGCTTGTTTTAGTGTGTGCCGTGTATATTTGCTATGTCACATGCTTGATTAGACATGATTTGATAATGTCTGAATTACCCTGGATAGCTTATACCAACTTATTAATTGAAAATGAATTGAATTTTTGGAATTATTTGTGAATCTAATGTAGTTGATTCTGTTATTAGCACCAGTATTTTTTCAAGTTCACATATGTGATGAATTCATTCTTTAAATATTCTTTAAATAACTTGCTACAGTGTTGCCCAAAATACAACTTTTGACTAGGTAATGAATGTTTTTACATGAATTTCCGATTTGTGAAGACTATAAACCAGACAAAGTTGATACTAGATGAAAAAAAAATGACATTTTGTAGGAATTTTGGCAAAAAATGAACTTTTTTTTCAAATATTCTCAAAGAAATTTGCTCTACACCAGTGTTGCTCAAATACAACTTTTGATTACTTATTTCAATTCTATTTTGGTGGGGTGCATTTTTTATTAATATGGAATGAATTCATTGTTAGTTTATGCTTAATCTTATACAAATTCAACTTTCTGATTGCATATAACTCAAAATTTGGCTCAAATTGTTAGCGACTCTAGGTTTATTACTGTAAATTGCAAGTATATTTGCTCTGATTTTATAGCATTGTACATTCATATGAACTATTGTTCATTAAAGTAGAGGAGCAGGCGTTTGATTGGTTGCGGTGGTAGTTGATTGTGTTCCGCCTCTGTATTTTCTCAGCTTCGGCCGATTTGAGTCGATACTGTATTTTTTGTGTTAGATTGGATGATTTTGTGTTTGACGTGTTCTCGTTTATTTTTTGTGCTTTAATTACTATTGTTTTAATTAATATTCACGTAATGCTAGCTAACAACTATATGTTTGTGTTACTAACAATTTTGTGTTAACTTGATAGCGATTGCCCCTATCGCAGCGGGAAAGCAAAAGCAACTTTTTTATCGAACCAGAAACCACTTTAATTTTTAGTTTGTTCTTTTTTAGTTTTATCCATGCTACCGTACTACTAGCAGCGTGTTTGTATACGCATGTAATTGATTTTTGTTTCACTGCTTCTCTTTTTTCATTTCGGTTTGTTCGAAAGCGCCTTACTTCGATTTTTGTTATTATCATTTCATGTCCGAGCACTCTACAGATTTTTTCAAAATCAGCTTTGTGCTGGATATGGTTTACAACACGTTCTTGTGTCACTACTCGTTTGAACTATTTTTGATTTAATCTAACTGCACGGGATTAAAGCATTGGTTATGTTAATATAGTTAGGGCTGGGTGAATCCGCAGGGCTCAAAATGATAAAGATAATTCACACAAACTTATTGTACACAAATTAAAATGGTTTCAACAAGAAATACATCACAGTATTAAAACTCTAACAACTTGAGCTTTTTTGTAATCTATGAATAAAATTAGGTTTATGAATTGATTGTTTGATTTTGCCCGGCCCTAGCTTTTGTCCGAACCGATTTTGCACTTATGTTTCACAATACTTAGAAGGGAAATGATAGTCACATGAGACTACCACTTTTTATATCACACCTCAGTCTTCAATTGCATTTAAAAGTACAATATGATTTTTCCCTAATCAAAATTTCACCAATCTTATGACGAAGTGTCTTTGGGCTCATGATCATCTCAATGTTATCCAGGTTGTTAGACAATTATTACTGGAAAAATATCCTGTCAGATTCCACTTTCTTATTTAAACAACATTATTCAAATGTGCAAATTTGGAGAATATTCTTCCATTGCATTGATTACTAGAACGCTTGAATATTTAATGCATTAAGATTCAATTCTTTTTAAATTGTTTTCGTAAACGGCCAACCTGACTGAGCTAGACAGTGGGAATAACTTGCCTGTTTTGAAGATAAAGTGTACTTACGTTGTTGTGTTGAAATGTCAGGTTTTATCTATATTATGCATCAAAAAAAAGGATTCTGATGTAAAAAATCTAGTTATGAGTGTTAATTAATATTAATAATTATTAATACTAAGCGGTGATTTATATTATTTGCACGAAAAAAATTTTCACTCAATGTTTTAGTTGACAAATTTAAGACACAATTTTTTGTTTGAGTTTCTGATGCCATAATTTTAAGATCCATCCATATATAATATTATTTACTTGTAATCCCATTTGATTGTTTTCTAATATTAGGTTTGATTTGGATTCTGTGAGTTAACATAATCAAATTTTGATTATAATGTTAATGCTGTGATATATGTTTTAAGCAAATAGGAAAATTGCTTGAAACGCTATGATTTGTATTTACCGTAGTCTAAATCCGGCATTTGACTAAAATAGAATCGTTTACTTTAGTTAGATTTTAGATAAAATGCCAGTAAAAACAAATTTTTATGGGAATTCTTTTACACAAAATTGCTTTGAAATGGCGAAATGATCTGTCTTATATCTTTTATGGAAACCAACTTGCCAATTATATACCTGTTGTAACAAAACAGAAAATTTAAAGTGTTCCGTGTATTTGTTTTCAATATTTTTCGTTCATTTTCATTCCACACTGAGCAGTTACTCGCTTTTTGATTCCTTTTTGCCTTTTTTCACTTTTTTCTTTGGTTTGAAATTCTTACTGATCGTGTTGGAGTTCGTTAATTTTCCTCGATTATTGCACCTTTCATTTCTTTATGAATTTCTTCCTTTCACTTGGTTATCGCTTTGTTCATTAATCTGATTTAAACACATACTTGCGATTATTGGCTGGTTATATTGCATAGCAGATTTCAATAATAACCGGATATTTGAATTATCCAGTGGGCCGTGCTGTGCTTTTTTTTCTTTTTGTGATGTTTGCTCCACCACCATCTTTTTTCATAAAAATATGGATTCAATTTTTGAATTAACGTGGATAAAATTGAGATTTATCAAGCACAAATTAAAAAAAAAAGAATTAAACCAAATTTTTTTATTCTGTGAAAGAGTATCCAGTGAAGTTTGTAAATCAATCATTATCATCAAAATTTTCTTGTAGTTTTGTATTTTTGTTAATATTCATTTTTTTGTATGGATTGCAGTTCTTTTGGTGATTATTTGCAGTGATACTAGGTATAGTCCGTGTTACTTTTTGTGTAATTTTCTTTCGGTATCCAGAAAACCATTGTCATACGTTATCAAAGTCTTTCAATTGCCAAGATCTTAAGGCTTTTCGTGTGTGACAAATTCAACATCTTCAAGTCATGCATAATCAAGTTACCTAAGATCTTTGGTATCTGTATGAAAAATTTGACTCAGATAATTCAGTGATTTGCTGATTGAATGTGATGCATAATTTTTGATTATTTTCACATATCAGTCTGTCATTTGAGTTAACTCCATTGTTTGTTTATATTTGTTTGTATACTCACGGCATGACAATTGTCATTAGCACTACCATCATTAATATTGTATTAGAATAACCCTGTGACCAGATGAAAAAATAAACTAAATCCGTGTAATTTTGAGGGAAATAAAAATACTTACATGGTTAATGGTGTTGTTTGTTTTTCTATTGAAATATGAAGGAAGGTACATATTATTCCAGACTGGGACGAAACTTCGTAAATTCATTTACAAAGAGACAACACTAATATGTGGGTTCAGTACAAATACGTCATAATTTTGTCAAAATAAGCATGCGTGTGTTGGTATGCTCAATAATAGCTTCATAGTTTTGCCCCATTGGGCAGGCGAACATGGGTTGGTGAGTGCAGGAAATACTCTCTAAATCGAAATATTTTGATTGGTAAATCGATAAATCTGAATTGAAGGTGTATCTATTCTACTGGTCATGAAATTCTGTTTTGTTAGGACAAATCGCTAATCCCACGTAGGACTTGCAATCGACTGCGGACTATTTTCAATTTTGACTTCTTTTATCCCCATTGGAACTTTAAAAGTCTGAATTTCCGACTCCAATGACTTTAGAATTCCGACTCCAGGTCCTGAGAATTTTCTAAATAGGACTCCGACGAGAACATGCCGAACTCCAAGTACGCAGCGCGGGTTAAGAGTTTTACCACCTTTGTATCTTCAAGTACCCGACATGCTAAAATGGCCGAACCCGAGATGGCGCTGCGGTGTTAAAATAAATCCCTATCAAAACTTGGCGCCAGTTTCGCTTCCACTGAAGATGAGAGATTGTTAGATATAGGATAGGATTTACATAGTTATCCCGGTGGAGAGGAAAGTCGATGAGAGGGCTTAACCACGGCCTCCCATGAGACTCATCCGTTTACCAGTCCGCCCTTGAGCAATTATTACAGAGAGAAAGTTTATCATTCTAACTTGCTCATTGTAGCCTAGTTCAGTAGTTGATTTTATAGTTTTAGTTCCAATCTTTTGAGAATTTTGTTGCTGTTAAGTGATAATAATTATTTTTATACAGATTCATATAAACTAGTTAAGGTTTAAAATGGATTATTTTAAATAAGAACAAAAAATCAGAAAACTTTGCCTCTGAATTGTCAAGTCTTGTGGCTAATTCAAGTCTTCCGTTCACCATGCCTACTTTCAAACTGCGGGATGTGGAAATTGAATTTCCCTTCAAGCCGTATTTAGTACAAATTAAATATATGGAAAGTGTGATTAAGTCATTACAAACCGGGAAGAATGCGTTACTGGAATCACCAACAGGGACAGGAAAAACTTTGTGCCTCTTGTGCGCAACTATGGCATGGCGAAGATTAGAAATCAAAAAGCGAACTGTGGAAAAGTCTTTGATTCCTGATGGTAAAGAGCCTGATTACCCCTTAGGATGGGGCTCTAGCGATGCAGTTCCCGAGGAAGAGCCCGAACAAAGCATCCCAACGGCCCCAAAAATTATATATGCTTCCAGAACCCATTCACAATTAGCTCAAGTCGTCAAAGAACTGAAACGAACTGCGTATGCCAAGGATGCTAAAATCAGTATTTTAGGTTCCCGGGAGCAAATGTGTATTCACCCAGAAGTGTCAAAGCAAACCAACAATACTGCAATGATACATTCGTGTCGTAATAAAGTTAATAAACATCTCTGTCATTTCTACAACAATGTTGAAAATGTGAGAAAAGCAGGATCATTCACAAATGAAGTTTTGGATATTGAAGAACTGGTTGCGTTGGGGAAGAAGAGGAGTGCCTGCCCTTATTATGCAGCAAGGTTATATACAGATTTCTCTATTTGATATCATAAGTTGAAATAATGAGTTGATATATGAATAATATTCATTTACCGTACGTTGTTATATCTAGACTTGTAAGGGGTTCTAGGACCTCACCAGTCATTTATATATCGATTTGGTTTATGTATTTGCCCTTTCTTTTCAATATCTGGTATACTCTTCAGTGTAATTGACCATAATTTGTGCCAAATGATATTGAAGAGAAAATTTTAATAAAATTAAATTATGGAACGGAAATATTTTATCATTTATGCACATTTAACCAATGGCATACTTGAGCTTGTTTTTGTGTACTTAATCATATTTATTAACATTAATTTTAATAGTTTCGATCAATTAATATAAAGTTATAAACACAAATATTTGACTAATAAATCTTTATAAAAAGTATCCAAAAATTTGTCACACGGTCAAAATTTGAGAGCCATTGGTGTGGTAAATTGGTATGTGATCACAGATTAGAAAGTGGATAAAATTGAATTGAACTTAGAAAAAAAAATTATTTTCATCTTCTAGAGAGCAATCAAAAGAGGCAGACTGTGGCATCATTTTCACGCCATATAATTATTTATTGGATCGGAAAGCACGTCGTTCTCATAATCTTGAAGTATCTGGCAATGTGATTATATTTGACGAAGCTCATAATCTGGAGAAGATGTGCGAAGAATCGGCTTCATTTGATTTAACATCAATGGATATTGCAAAATGTATTCAAGAAACTGGAGAACTATTAAAAGCTGCAGTAAATCTTTCTGAGACTGGGACTGTACCTGATGGTTATGAGGCTGGTATGTTATTATGTTTATGTGTGTGTGGGCGCTCAGGTAGTAGGCCTACATGGTAGTTTCATATTTCATTCATACATTTGACTCTTTCCATTCAACTAGTTATCTAATAGTTCAGCTTGATGCCAGCTTTTATTAAATCGTTTTGATCATATGACACAAAGCGACGTACAAGTTTGATTTTTGGTCGATAATTGTGTACCACCATATATTTTCAGGAGAGTCATCAGCACTTGGTGAATTCAATCTTCAGGAATTAGCAACGTTAAAAGCATTATTCGTCCATCTTGAATCACATCTTCAAGCCATACCACTTTCTGGTGTAGAAAAGAGTTTGACAAAAAAGGGAAGGTATGATGATATGGAATATTTTTATTCAAAAATGTAGCCCTAGCGCACTTCAGCAGATTTTTATTTCTCTTTCTACGCAGATGCGCTTATTTAGTCCTTAATTAGTCCAGGAGTCCTTTCAAAAAAAGTAGTTTTCACTCAGAAGTGCCTTGTTTGGAGTCTTAGTAACTCTTTGAAAACACCTCGTGTAAAAGTTACAATGTTTTCTTATTTTTACAGATACATGTTTGAGTTTTTGGCCGCTCTGAGTGTGAACTTTACAACACATGAGACAATCATTGATCTTGTCGACAAGGTGGTGACTTATCTTTCCACCCTGAGTAACTCATTTCAAACTAGAGGAACAGCTTTACAAAAGTTCTCTGAGATCCTGAAAATCATATTCAGTGCAGCGGGAGGACAAAATCCTACCCTACCATCCACTCTTTTAAACTCCAATGTAGCAACCGAAATGATGATGAGTGAATTATCAAAATTTTATCGCGTACATATTCGAGAAGACGAAGTAAAATCTAAAAACTCTTGGGGAGGGAAACAAACTTTTCAAACTACGACTACAGAATCTACAGGTACACAAAGAACGCTGAGTTATTGGTGCTTCAGCCCGGGATACGCAATGAGAGATTTACTAGCTTGCGGAGTAAAAAATTTAATTTTGACAAGCGGAACTTTATCGCCGATTGAATCCTTCACTTGCGAACTTCAAGTCGATTTCCCCATCACGTTACAAAACACTCACGTCATTGATAATCATCAAGTTTTCGTTGCTTCCTTAACGAAAGGACTCACAGGAAGACGTTTAGAATCAACGTACAAAACTAGAGGAGATTACAGACTGGCACAAGATATTGGAAATATTCTTATTAGAATGTCTAGAATATGTCCTGGTGGATTGCTAGTGTTTTTCCCATCTTACTTGGCCATGGAAATTTACACCAAGACATGGAGGGAGTTAGCTCCTGATATTATGAGGTACATAGATCTGTAATAAGTGGAAAATGCCCCACGTCTTTCACAATATCAAAATCCAGTAAAAATGTAAGCTTTCTCATCATAAGAGGTACTCAGAAAATTCAGCATAATAATCAAATTTAAGATAATCCAATCAAAAAAGTCGTATCTTGAAAATTTACTTAGTCAAAAACTGGTACTGTTTTAAAATGACAGTATTATTTATAGTTTATACATACCTTTATTTTGCTGAACATCAATTTGGAATATTCAAAACATCAGGTAAAAATTCGAAAATTTCGCATCATTTTGTACTATCAGTATGTCATGTTTATGTCACTTTTTTCATCAGGCAGATCGACTTGATTAAACCTTGCACAATTGAGACGAGAAATAAAAATGGTTTGAAAGAAGCCATGGAAAAATATTACTCGGATGTTGCCAAACCTGAGGGTGGGACATTCTTTGCCATATGTCGTGGAAAAGTCTCAGAAGGTTTGGATTTCTCTAATGAAAATGGAAGAGCCGTTGTCATCATTGGTCTACCTTATCCACCATCAAAGGTAACGCTGATGTACATTTTATTGGGCACTCCAGAAGTGTGTGTACCGATATGGGGAGGTAACTAATTTTGTTCGCCTATTTTACATCAAGTAGTGTAAAGGAATGAAACCTATGGGCAGGGGTTATATTTACTTGGCTATCACAAACAGTCCCCAAACTCATAATAGCCCTAATATTAGGAAAAATTAGAATAAAATTATGACCCAACCCTAACCTGGTACACACACTACAAGAGTACCTTTTATTGTAATATAGTGTGAGTACAATCGCTAGGTGTAGTTTAAGTAACCACCTTTGATAATCCAGTTGACGTGGGGAATACCTGACTGGCGCGAATCTTAATTTGTGTCTGGTGGATTTTTACTGCTTAGAAAAAATAAATTGTACTTGATTCGTAAATAAGTTCTGTAAATTTTATTAACAAAAATTGAACATAGCATTTTATTTTTTTTCAAAGTTTGTTTGAAACTCTAATTGACCAACATTAACTTGACATCAATCAAGCTTTAGCAAATCTAGTTGTCACGCAAAGCTTTAGTTGTGCAAGTGTAACTATTTGAGTTTAGTATACCACATTCTTTCCAAACCCAAAAATGAAATTTTATTTTAAAAACATTTAAAAAATTTAGTATATCTGAAAGTTCTATTACTTGTTTATTTCAGGATCCAAAAGTTCGTCTAAAAATGGAATTTCTTGAAGACTTGCGAATAGGAGGAGCAAATAAAGTTATTAGCGGTCAGGAATGGTACAGATTACAAGCATTGCGTGCTGTTAATCAGGTAATATACTCAATGCATTGGAGAAGATTATTATGAGACACATTATAATATTTTTACATTAGTATTAGAAACATCTTACTTTGAGTAGATATGCTTTCTAGCCCTTGAGATCAGTCAATTTGAAAATAAGATTTATTCAGTTCTAAAAATGTGAAAGTCAAAAGAAAAGCAATGAAACAAAATTTGTTTCGAGTATTCGCCATCATCGAATTCAGTTTTCAAGAATAAATTTGAATTGTGTAAATTTCTATGTTAAACCTGACCCAATTTTGATTGTATTTTCAAAAATATTTTCTAAATATATCTGGAATAGCAAATAATGTGGTATTGACCATTAGTGTAACTTTTTTAGTGACGACACTGCCCCTTCCTGAATTGTATTTTATTTTATACTTTGTATTTTGACTCAGGCTATCGGACGTGTTATCAGGCACAGATATGATTACGGTGCAATATTATTGATGGATTATAGATATACGAAGAAAGACAATCATTCCGAACTTCCCAAATGGATTCAGCCCAGGGTTAACCAATTTGATGATGCAGAAAAGGCTTTGAGAAGGTATAGGTAATTTTGTAATTTAGTTTGTTCCCTTGTAGGCTTCTTATTCTTAGATTTTTCACTGGTATTTTTTCATTTTCCTTGATTTGTCACTCAAATTTTGGACTAGCTTGCCTCAAGAATTCTGTCAAACAATATTTCTTGGAGACTACATCAAAAAATACCTATTTACGGTACTTCTTAACATCTCCGTATTGGTGACTTGCAACTCTTTCTATCAGTGGTATTCCTACCTATCATAATGAATGTAGTTTACTATAAATACGAATCATTTATTTTCAAAATTTCATTTCTGATGCAATACTTCGATAGGTCTACACCAGACATGGGCAAACCACGGCCCACGGGCCAAATCTGGCCTGTTTGGTTATTCAATCTGGCCCGCCTGATGCTGCCACAACCGAACTAAAACCAAATTTTGGATGTTTTAGCTAAAAATAACCAACAGAATTTGTTGGGATTGCGATCAAATTGATTTTGGGCATGAGGCTTATTGTTTTCCACTTTCGCTTTGGTAACCCTGTAAATATTTTCCATAAAATGTAACTTTTACTTCATACTTAAATGGCCCGCAAGTCCAGATGGGCAAAATTGTTGGCCCCCGGTCCAAAAACCGTGCCCACCCCTGGTCTACACACATTACTTTCAAATTCGATTTTTCCTCATTTACAGGGTGAAATCATTTTTCTGCTCAATCCTAGAAAAAGAAAAGATACGTCTCAAACAGCTTTCAGGCGATAAAAATCATGATAAAGAAAATACAGAATGTGGGGAAGGAACAAGTGGTGTTACTGAGGCTAAAAAAGAAACTATATTTTTTGGTGGGCAACAGAAAAAAACAGACAACATTAGCCAATATTTCGCAAAATCGAATGATAAAATTTCTAAAACCAAAAACAAGACTTTTTTATCAATACCGAAGTCAAATGATTTGTCGAATCATATTCCATCGTCGGTCATAGCAGATTCCTGTTCTTTACCTCAAACTACTCCTAATGGCTCTTGCACAGGTTGTCCGACAAGTTCAAAGAGAAGAAGAGTATCTGAAGACGATGATACAGCCGGCCTCGTTCCTATTAAAAATTTTAAGAAAAAAACAAAAGGCCCCATGCTTCTAGATGCCTTGGATAAAGATGTGGTGCAACGGCCACAAGAAGAACCAATCATTGTTGAGGAAGAAGCGACCAATCGTGTCGCAAGAACTTTGCTCGTTATGGATAAAATATTAGATGATCAAAGACGAGGATTACCAAAAAAGAAAATTAAAATTGTGGAGAAAAAGAAAATATCTGAACCACCAAATTTGACTGTACAAAAGCAAAGGCTTGGTAATCCACAGGAAGGAGTTGGAGAAAGAACGCAAAACTCAGGCAATCATAAGGAAGTTGAGAAATGTATTTCTAATGACAATACTAGCGAATCTTCCACTTCAGTTCGAAACAAACAGCCTTCTGCTGAAGATTGTGATATCGACTTGAATGATTTTTCTAATTGGGATGAAAAACGATTTATACAAGGAAGTAATATGCTTTACCTAAAAGCAACTCGCTTCCTGTTGAAAGGCGAATCATATGCTTTGTTTAAAAGTGCGTTAATTAATTTCAAAAAGGATTCTAGTACTCTTGTTCCTACTTTGAGTAAAATATTTTTAGATGATGAAAGAGGTAAAATTCTGTTTCGGGCTTTTGTTAAATTCTTACCGAAGAAAAATACAGAAGTCGTCAACTCTTTCGTGAAAAGTTGTCAAGAAATAACTGGTAGACGTCCTGAGGGTTTTTGAATGAAGATCTGAATTTCTAATACCCAATTACCTGTAATTTTACAACGGGATGCCATAAAAATTCTTAAGTTCAAACTTTAACTATCAGGGCGGTTCAATTGTTTTTTGTGAATCTTACATTTTCAAAAATTTCAACTTTAGGCAGAGGTGGGAAATCTGAAATCATTTAATTGCAAGTGGTTTAAAATTCTAACTCTGGAAAGTTTTGAAAATAAGATATTTAAATCTACTCTGATTTCAGCAAAAATCAGGGTTTCCTAGTTCACATCCAAACAGTTATTATGTTATACAGTATTTGTGGTCGAGAAATTTCAATAATCATTTTATTGCACCCTGAGTTGGAAGATAGCCGTAAATTAATTGATAACCACCGTAAAAATCGAGATTCAATCAAAACTATAAACGTTGGTTGCATCGTTTTTTTGAATCTTTACCAAAATGCAGCAAATCTGTAAACTTTAGTTTAGTTTCTTTGGATTCATTTTTTTGTAACTTTTTCCAGCTGCCAATCAGGAAATTTTTCCTTATAAAAATCATGTGCATATCTTACCAAATAATGTTATACTGTATTTATTCTGTTATTGACTTACCGTAATCCATCCATATTAATTTCTTTAGACTTAATAAATTTTGATTATGTACTGGTTTTAAGATATAAGAGTTATGTACAAATTGCCTGACACCATGATTCTGCTATTCATATATTGAGCTATTTTATAACTGTCCAATTTCATTCTTGTAAATTGCAATTTCTTGAAAAAAATAAGGCATACGAATTCAATATACCAAATCAGAAACATATTTTTTTTCATTTTTCATTCCACATACTTTCTTCCTTTTGTTTCCAACACACTAATATTTTTTTGATATTTGATTCCAACGAATTAAATCAATTTCTTTGTTCCTGTTGAAGCAAATACAAATTACGTATAAATTGTATTGTGTCAATTTTCATTTTATGACTACATAATTGCTTGCTCCACTATTTGCAGCTAGCTTCATTAAAAAATGTGAGAAATATGTCACTTAGCGGTATCGCGTTTTGAAATTCCGCTGATTTGCCAGAATCAGTAATATTTCTTGTTTCTTCCGAGGTTGCACGCGTGACTGTAGCATGATTGTCATAAATCTCGAAACGATACTGGGTAATATAGATGAAATATATATTCATTAGTCACCGAGCGCTAATGTGTTAACGGCTATTTTCAATTAGACGCGTTCCACTCGTGGTAGCATAGGCGTCGGTAAGTAAGTTATGAAAATGCGGTTTGCCTATACGGAAATGCGGCTGTCATGGCGTCATATATGACAATGATCGATCTGCTGTTGGATCTTATAGGAAAAGAAAATATCTCAAATTAGGAAATGGGGACTGCAATGCAATGAGGTCAGAAAGTACGAACTTGATATAATATTATATGCGTAGGACTATTATCCTAATAGATTGAGTTAACTGAAGACATTTGTTGTTCGGATAAAGATGAAAAATTACGAATATGTGCAAACAAAATAGGAGACCAAAAACCGTGAATTCCTCAGCCCTAGTTCACATCTGGAATGAACAGTTATTATGTTAGACGGTATTTGTGGTTGGGAAATTTCGATAGTCATTTTGTTGCACCCTAGTTGGAAGATAGTCGTTAATTGATTGATTGCTAACCACCGGAGAAATCGCAATTCAACCAAAACTATAAACTTTGGTTTCAACATTTTTTTTTGCATCTTCACTAAAATACGGCAAATCTGTAAACTTTTGTTTAGTTTATTTAGATTAATTTTTTCTGGCTGCCAATCAGGCACTTTCCCAATAAAAATCGTGTGCATATCCTACCAAATAATGTCATACTGTATTTATTCTATCATTTACTTGATCCACGTTGTTTGTATTTGACTTATCGGATTTTTATTATGTACTGGAGTTGAGATATGAGAGTTATGTACAAATTGTCTTATACCATTAATGAGGCCCAACTTTAAAAAAAAAGGTTGACACACATTTTGTACAAGAATATCCTAAGTTAAACTGATTTAATAACTGCCGATTTAATTCTTATAGATTGCAATTTCTTGAAAAAATAAGGCATACAAATTCAGTATACCCTTTAAAGAATTTTTTTTAAATTTCCATTCCACGTACCTTCTCCATTTTGTTTCCATCATGCTAAGATTCCTTTGATATTTGGTTCTAACAAATCAAACCAATTTCTTTGCGCTTGTTTATGTCAAATGCAAATTACGTATAAATTTTATTGTGTAGCCAATTTTTATTTTATAACTACTTCACTATTTGCAGCTGGTTTAATTAAGAAAATGTGAAAGATATGTCGCGTAGCAGCCTCGCGTTTTGAAATTCAGCTGATTTGCGAGAATAAGTAATGAGCAGCTGATATTCAGGAAATCAGTTGTTATGATCAATTCGTTTTTTCTTAATTCAAAGAACCTCAGCTGAACTCGCTTTTTAATCGATCGAAATTTAATGACAGTGTACCTTTAGGAGTACCTATTTACGCTTTAGTTCAGTACTACTGAACGCCCGAAGCCGATTTATTTAAGTGTTCATTATCATTATACTGACGGCAACCACAGGAGAAAATGTGAAATTATTTTTCGTTTTGTTCTTCGGCCGTTTTGCGACACCGTTTCGTCAGCGAATGCTGTGCAATCGTTGCGTAACTTTTGTTTTGATTGATGTGTTACGCATGGCTGACATGATTGCGCAATACCGACGGAACAAAAACAAACGAGCTAGTGTGCTTGCTGACCACAAAGTCTGAATTGACCTTGTGTAGGGCGACTTTGGTATGAGCCTCGTGGCTCGTGTATTAAATGACTCAGCTATAAGTCAGTAAGTGGATTCGTCCATTGCAGGGACTGGCACAGCGCACAGGTAGGTGGGCGAGAGGCAGGAGTTCACTATATGATTAAGACGTCTTATCACTGTATCAGCTTTCATATCCTCGGAAAAATATGAATATTAATTCTACTAGAAACCTATCAAGTTATGGTTATAGCAAGTCGGCAGGTAGAAAAACAACAATTCCTCAAATCCAAGCTTTATGCGTCAGTCTGTGCGGTGAAGCTGAATGTTCATGTTCGATCTCAATTTTGCAGATGTTGGTAAGAGTAATGTGTTATGAAACAGAGGTTTTGGGAGTCTGAATAAATAATTGGTTTCTGAATTCCAATGACGTTTTCAAAGTGAGTGCTGGACTGACTGCAAAAAACGCGTAACAACCATGGGCCATCTATCCGAATCCGAAATGAATGAATCCAATAATAATATTGGATCAAAAATCTTGGCTGAATCGTCTGAAAATAAATCAAAGAGAAGAATAAAGATACCACATATTGGAATTCTGTATGGACTCCTGAGCAGTGTTTTCTTTTCATTTAATGCATTGCTTGCGAAACTACTTTCATTGAACGCTGTTCAAATTGCTTCATCTCGTTGTTTCATACAATACATTTTTCTGTTTCCCTACCTAATTTACAAGGAAAAAATGGATGGAATCCTGGGATCACCAAAGATACGACCTTTTCTGTGGCTCCGGGGATTCTGCGGATCAGTTTCAGGAATGTTATTTTACCTGGCTGTTAGAAATCTTTCTGTTGGCAATGCAGTCACGTTAGCTTTTTTAGACTGTGTGCTGTGTCCTATTCTGGGCAGAATATTTCTTAAGGAAAGTCTCACTGTTATGGATTATGTTTTTGCACTCATTGCTTTTTCTGGAGTTATTCTGATAGCCCAACCTCCTTTCATATTTCCACATTTGTCCAGCACAACCACAGAAAGTGCATTTGGAGTCATTTGCGCTCTTGTAAGTGCTTTGATGGCGTCATCCTCGTATCTCTCGATTCGAAAGATTGGGACCCAAACACACTATCTCATTGTGACGTGGTATTACTCTATAGTAGGGTGTATCCTTGATCCTGTTATTTTAATAATTTCTGGGCAGTATCAACCTCCTTGTCTCTCTCAAATACCTATCATACTTCTTTTGACGGCTTCTGGATTCTTGGGACAAGTGACACTCACTCTTGCACTACAGCATGAAAGAGCAGGAACAGTTGCAGTTCTCCTCACACTTCAGATCATTGTTGTATATTTTGTACAGGTATGTAATTTTTGTCACAATGGTTAAGCCAGGGTGGTCCAAACCCAGGCCCGTGGGCCACATGTGGCTCGCCACTTCATTATCTATCTGTTGCTCGCTTCGCATTCGGAGAGGAATCAAAAAATCTTTTGACATATTGTTGCATCACCAATATCAATGAATTGACTATTGTTATGGCTTGCTGAGGCAACTAGCGAAGTTAAACGAGCAAAGTTCTTGGCACTATTGTGGCCCACGAACAATGCAAAAGTAATGTTGTGGCCCTCAGAGCTGCCGGCTTTCCTCTTCCTCTGGATAAATATGTAAATCCTATCCTACCTACCGGTATTTTTAATATCATATAGGATAATTTAGACATTGGACAGCATTAATTGGTTAAAAATTCGTAAAACTCTGTTTTTCATAACTCTCATTGTACTGCAATAAAGATATATTCAAAAATTACAATTAGGTTTTTATCAGATTGTAAATAACTTGCTGTAAACTCTTTATTGTTCTTGCAATTGTAATAATGTGAGAAAATTCGAGTTTTATTTGGATTCTGATATTTCAACTGATAAGAGATTCATTTTTATTTTGGTCCATATTGTTTGAACAAATAATATTCAAGAAAGATTATTCATTGTGAAAAACTATTTCATATTCAATATCCATTCATCAACTTTTGTTTGATAAAGTTTATTCAGAATTGATTAAACACGCTTTATTCAGCCTTCTTTCATTCGAACTCAGAATGCTTTCTGCTGACCAGAAGAATCTAAAGAATAATATTTGTTTAACTCTTTAAATTTACTTTGATTGCAAATTAAGATTTAAATTTTTATTCTAGACAATATGGACAGAGAGTCTAGTACTCAAACAGACTTATAATAAATGGCTTGAGTTTATTTTCATATTTTAATATACCAATGGGACAATGGAAAATTAAGTTGTCTAAAACCGATTCAAACAAAAACCATCTCCCAGGCTGATATTCAGCTGCTACTTATATGGATGAGTACATGGTTAGAGTAAATAAGGTAGAAACATACCACATATTGCAATGGCCATACAAGGGGCATATATGGTCATTATGGACATGATTCAAAATCATTATTTGCGAAGGCAAGTTTTTTGGGCCAATGAATAGGGAATTTATTCAGATGTATGTTGTAAGCACTTCAGATTTTTAAATCCACGGTCATAATCTATGTGCTTCTTATTATACACCATCAATTTTGTAGTTCCAAAATCTCTTTTCACTGTTAGTTTTTTGCATTATATATGGTATGAGAAACGCCAGAAACTTGCACGGATGAGCGAATTGAAATCCTGATATAAACATCAGATAATAACAATTGGAATGTTTTTCGTCATTTAATATACAACTAATTTTTTATTATCTCGCCAAGAAGGTCCACTCCAAAGTCGAGATAACCATTTGAAATCAGAATATCCAGGCGCAATTTTACCACCTAATGCTTAACTCAATTTACGGTATGCTTCAATTTAAAATGTTAAAAATACCAGTGATGTTGTTATACTTATAGACTTGTCCTTACATGCCTACAAAAATTTATACTTTTCATATTCGAAAGTAATGAAGTTCAATTTGTTGACTTATACACTTGTCCTCACATGCCTACAAAGATTTATACTTTTCATATTCGAAAGTAATGAAGTTCAATTTGTTGACAGGTTGTTTTTCTAAATGACATTCCTTCCATGCTCAGCATTATTGGAACCGTTCTAATATTTTGCACAAGTATCGGAATCGGAGCAAGAAAAATTATAAATGAAAGAAGGCGGCGAGTGAAGAAGTGACTATGAAGACATTACGGTACTCCCGTAGTATGTGTACCAGGTTATGGTTGGGTCATAATTTTATTCTGATTTTTTAGTTCCATTTCGAGTTCGAGGTTCGATATTAGAGTATTTGTTTTAAACTTTTATATTTTCAGGGTGTATTTTAAACTTCTATTATTTTTTGATTAATGAGCCAGTGTAGTGTTTTATAAATTGTCGGAGAATCGTTGCTGTTACGATGTTACCTGTTTAAAATTGATTCTTCCAGTGTACGGTACCGCCCGCATATGAAACAAATTTATTGAATATTTACTAAAATCATTACCTACCTAAAAAAATACTAACAAACGTCTTATGATTGCAGGGTAACTGTTTTTTTTGTGATTATGTAGTGAAGTTCGTAATTGTTTTATATATTTGCCATTGAGATTTTTATCAGTAATATAATTCCAGATCAGTGTGATATGATTAATTTTTGAATCTGTGATTTTTATTAATATAAAAGTGCTTTATATATCACACTGCTGCTTTTTTGAGCAATGAAATTTTATATATTTTGATCAGCATATTTATACCGTTTACTTAGTTTTTTACATAGTTTGAAAACTTATAGAAAAAATTTAAAATTTAGCTTTTCTATTGCGCAGAGTGCTTTTGTCTAGCGATACCCTTGATGAGCTGATAAATGAAGAAAAAAAAATTTGGTTGCTATGAATCTGTAGATATTTGCGTCACTGTTCAGTGGCAACTGCTATCATTTGCTGCTATCGCCTTTTTTGTGAAATCCCGCTTTCCACTATAGTGTTAATCAATTTTCGACTAATGTACTATAAATTTTAAGCTACCGTATATCATTTGATTTAATCTATATCATTTGATAAAACAAAACTAATTTATATACTAAAGCTATAATATACTGATCTGACATCAGTATATTTAGCTCCCACTTTTGAGCAAATTTTTATTGAAAGAGGTGCAACTGTAACTGCTATAAAGATTGTTTATTTATTTGTTTAACAAGAAAGAGTGTTTCAAAGTTTTGAATGATTCCTCGTGTTCACATTTTACAAATTTAATTTTTAAATTGCAATTTTTTAATCAAGGATAAACTGTTATCATTCTCTATATTTCTTTCACTATTCTAGATTATATTAGTAAAGTATTAGCTGAATATCATGCTATTGTTTGTAGAATACTTTTGATGTTGTTTTAACTGACCTGAGCTAAAAGCAAGTAAGTTTTCTTACTTTGAAACTGTTGTCACAAGAAGAATGTTTACTAAAACACTCAACACAAAACCAAAGGTCAATATAAAGTCGACATATTGTGGTATCATCAGAACAAAATATAATTATATTGAGTGGACAGAACACCGGACCAAATTATGTCACTTTCATCTATTGTAACAGGCATTGAAAATTCTGCCAACGATTCACAGAAAGTAATGATTGATTCGAACGTTGTGAGTCAAAAAAAAAAAAGAGGATGCAAAAGATGGGGCTTGATGTCAATCCCAGGAATAGGCATATTGTTTTCATTATGCTCGGCTTTCTTTTTCTCAATCAATTCCACTGTTGTTAAATCACTCGACTTACATCCCGTGCAACTCAGTTTGTCTCGATGTTCAGTTCAATTTCTAATCCTGCTACCAATTGTACAATACAAGCATAAAGAAGTGGATATTATGGGTCCAGAAGGGCTAAAACTCATCTTATGGGCTCGTGGATTTGTTGGATCAACAGCAATGATATTTTTGTATTATGCAATTGATGAACTCTCCGTTGGAAATGCCGTTACTATAACCTACATCAGCGTCATTTTAGTACCCTTCATGGCAAGATTCTTACTCAAAGAAAGTCTCACTATTTTTGATTTGATTTTCGGAGTGATTACTTTAATCGGTGTGATTTTCATAGCGCAACCGACTTTTCTCTTTCCTTTACCGGAAGGTGAAAAGCCACAAAGTGCCCTTGGAGTATTGTTTGGAACAATGAGTGCAACTTGTATGTCTCTCTCTGTTATTATCATAAGAAAATTAGGACGTCAGACATATCCACCATTAAATGTCATGTATTATTCATTTTGTGGATCAATAACAACTACCATTGTCTTGGTTGCTGTTGGGAAATTTCAATATCCATGCCTGAGTGATACTCCTCGAATTTTTTCCCTTGGAGTAGTCGGAGTGCTTGCACAGTTTTTCCTCACGCTTGCTTTACAAACAGAACGTGCTGGCACTGTTGGAGTATTAAGGTCTTTTCAGATCATATTGATCTATATTCTACAGGTAAATGTTGCTATTTTACTGTTCTTGTTTATGTATCTTATGATTACATTGTAGAAGCAGGAATGATAAGTGGCTTTGTACCCACAGATGACTTACGGCGTCTTCCATCATTTAAGAATTTTAAGTCACCTGGAATGATTTATGGTCTAAATCTAATCATCTAAATGCGGGAAGTCTTGTCATATGTTTTACGGAAGTGTTTTTATCCATGGAAATCTTCTACCTTTTCAAAGCATTTATTGGTTCTATATCTCTCTTGCTTTATTTGTGTGTTCCATAACTCTTTTATTTTCCAGGTCACTGTTTTGGGTGATATCCCATCGTATCTAAGTTTGATTGGAGCTGCACTGATCTTCTCTAGCAGTATTGGAATCGGAATTCGAAAAGTTATCAATGAGGGAAAACGGAGGCGAAGCGTTGTGAAGTCGCGGTTGATTGACTCCAATTGAAGTAATTACTTGTGTCTACTTCTCGTGTCATCATTAAAAAACATCGAATTAATTAACTGCATATATAGAATTAAAAATTGGCATTTTTAACAGGATTACTATCCATGTTAAATTTGACCGTAGATGATAAATGAATCAAGAAAACTAGTTTATAGTTTGTAAATATGTAATCAAGTATATGACCTCATTTGTAGTCACCATTCCATTTTGTGCTTGGCTAACTTCAATGACCATTGGCAGCTTTGCCATCCAGTATATTCTCAAACTAAACTGCATAGAATTACACTTATTTATTAATTAATACGCTTTTTTATTCTGACTCAAAAATAATAAACTCTCTCTGTGCCATATGAGCTGTATTTTATCAGAGACGCAAAGTTTTTCGATTTTAGTGATGTACATAGTGTATATGTGTGCTTAGTTTGGTATTGAGTTTACTGCCTAACTCCTGTTTTAAGCATTTCATTGATGTTGAATTTCTTGCATATTATGTTAATGCTCACTGTTCATCACCCTTGTTTGTTTCTTCTTGTTTTGGTGTCTACTTTTTCTTTCTCTATAAATTGTTATCTTTCATGACATTCTTTTCATGAGATGCAATATTCAACTTTTTATCTGTACATATTTTAATGCCTCTTGTGGTGCTATTGTACTTTGTTCCTGGTAAAAATTCCACCCAATTGTGTGGTGCAACAACCTATTTTAAACAATACCCTTTTTTTTCTGGATCATTTTGTTAATTTCTTTTCATTTCTCAAAAAATAACTGTGTGCTAATGTGCCGGTATGGATCAGGTAGTGCTTTATTGCCTTCACTCAAAACCAGTGCCAGTTGTGTCTCATAGTCTGGTGATGTATGGACAAAACTCCCCCAATCTAGGCGATTTATTGTAAGTTTGCCTAATAACCCGGTGCACCTTATGGCCGTAAAATACTGCACTTCAAGTATGTCAGGTTTCCATATTCAAGTAATATTATTGTCTCATTAGAAACTGTTGTTTGTTTTATTCTTTGTACCATATACACGTATGAATCTTAGATTTTTCTATTTTTTTTTCTTATTCGAGTTGATTAATTTGGTTATACTAGATGTTTTCAACAGGGCTCCACGGCACCCTAGTATTCCACCAGTACAGTCGGGGTTTTCGCAATTGAACTGGTCTATATTATGATAGAGCCTTTCACTCAATATTCTTAACTGTCCAAGACTCTAGGTACACATTATACACTCCCACACTATGAAATATATAAACAGATCATATACACTTAATTTTTTTTTTTTTTTATTATTATCCTAATGAATATGTGTTTTGTATATATAACTGCTCTTGAGAATTTTTTTTTCTGAATTTTGTGATTCCAAATGTTTTGAGAAATGAGCTTCTACAAAGTATTCTTATCGGCACATTGAATAGATTATGCATACTGTTATAAATAACCTTATTTTGTTTAATATGTCATGCATAATAACATAATATGGATTTTTTGAATTTCAAATCCGAATATACTTTATGTAAATGATTGCCGCCATCCATGCCCAATGTCATTTTGGGCATCTATTCTTGAAAGATTTTTCATATTTAAGGAGAAGGCCGACGAGATTACCACGGCTTCAATACAGGCCCCAGTCCAGATCTGGCATGGGTATAGTTGACTTATATTGATCTTACGCACTAAATTGGAAGGTAGATGCAGTGAATGATCGGCCGCGTTCGGCCTTCTTTGAGCCTCATCGCGGTTAGCGCATTGTCTAACCAGGGGTTCTCAAACTTTTGGTATTGTGGAGCCTGTGAAGATTGAATATTCTTTACGGAGCGCCACAATAAATTTATAAAACCAATAAATTTGACGCTTGGCAAACATAATAATAAAGTAGTGACGGCAATTGAAATATGACCTCTATTAGAACTTGATAGATGTCATGTTTGAATTACCACCGCCTTATTGTCACATTTCGACGCTACTGTTTTCAAATTTTATTAATGTCGTTATTGTCTCATTGGACAGTTATAAAATTAGCCAAGTCCGTATTTTATTAAATAAATGAATAGCTCGCGGAGCCTCCCAAGTTTCTCGCTGTCGTAGGCAGTGGCGTATCCAGGTTGTGACAGCCGTGGGCGTCGGCTGGACAGTAGCGCAAAAAAGGGCAAAAAGCTTTCGTCGTAAAATGCTTCAGTAAAATAATTTGAAAATAAAAATAACTGAGACTGGTATTCGATAGGAACGTACAGGTATCTCATTTCAATAATAGTCAATATAAATTTTCAACCAACTATCAAGGGGTTGTATTTTTAAACTTTGCCATGGGCGCCATTTTACCTAGAAACGCCTTTGGTCGTATGGTGGTTTTTAGCAACCGCTGGTCGGAGTTGCGCAAACCGACACCGACAGAATCGGCGTTGCTACTATTATTCAGCTGGATCGCCATGCCCGTGTTCTGGGGTGCCTTGGGTCTTAATTTTCCGACCACCCCTTCCGTCTAATTAGACATAATACCGACGGCTCCACTCTGATAGAACCGGTACTCATATTTGGATTCGTCATCAACTAAGCTCGGTGACCTGTGACTCAAGGTTTAATGACTTCCAAAAAACACTGGTAAGTGGGAAAATTAATGATTTGAAATGGTGAAAAATGGAAACAATGTCTCAATTGATTACTAACGGTACGTTGAATGTGGAGTCACTTCATTTTCAACGTCGGAACAAACGACGATGCTTTCATCATCATATTGGTTGGGATTAGGCATAAATTACTTCGAGATATCAAATTCCAATATATTCAATGCAACCTAAAATAATACCACGGCTATCATGACGTATTGCAACTACGTTTTGATTTATCTTTCGCATTATTAGAATGACGTATACATATTTCCAGGTATTGCAAAGTCTTTAGAGGACACTAGTACAGTGATTATCCGTCTTCAACATATTTATCCGGAAAGATTTCCTTAACAACTTTTGGTAAATAGTAAGCTTTTTATACTTGTATCAAAGGCATTAATTCCGGAGTCAATATTTTCCGTGTGGAATAGAATTATTACATATATATGGCGCTGAAACTATAAACCAGAAATGAAATACTATATAAATATACGTTGAACACCATTTGCATATAAAATAAAGTAACATAATATGATAATGTTACGGTAACAAAATGACATTAATAGGGTAAAAGTAACACTGAACGTATTTTGCATATATATTTCTGGAATTTGTTTTTTGATATCATTTTCTTCGCAGCAGAAATTAACCTTCAATCTTGTTTTTTTTGAGCCTCTTCAGTAAGGCATAGCTTACAAAGTTGGTCACGAAACCATCTTTTTCTTTCGACTGTTAATAACTTTCCTGAGGCCGATTCCTATACTTGTTGAAAGCACAAAAGCGGCGCCGATCAAACTCAGGTAAGATGGAATGTCTTCGAGAATCGTAACCTAAAGCAAAATGAATTGGAGTAAAAATATTATTGCGAATATTAACTGTATAAGGCGCACCCAGATATAAGACGGTTTTAAGGAGCATATATCGGTCACCGTTAAAAGCTCATTAAACAAAATAAAAAAACTCAATATTTTTAATGGATTTGTATGGAAATAACATCGGTTTGATATAAAATAATAGTACACTTTTGAATGTACGCAATACGTACGCACTACCTGATCAATACATTAGGCGCACCATCGATTTTTGAGAAGAAAAAAAATTTAAAGTACGCCTTATGGTCCGTAAAATACAGTATTACAAAATTGTTTTATATCAGAGTAATCTTTATTTATATTCATTGGATTCATCTATAAGCTTAGTGCCACATTTACCAACGGGGAAGTTCTCCCGATTGAGGAATTTTGCTTTGTATTTGCTGTAGTATTACAAATTTCCGTTAGTTTATTATTACTACATTAATATATATATATGCACATTAGAAAGTATTTGAATTGTACAAAAGTCGTACTGCAACCCGCGCTTCCCAGCAGCTGAGGATGCACGGAAGATTGAATAAATAAAGTAGTTTTTATTCATAGTGCGGGAGGATAAAAAATCCCAAAATTGGCGAAGGAAGGAATTTAACGAAAAAGGCTTGGAATCAGCGGCTCAGAGAGTAAAAGTTGAAATATTAGTTTCATTTTATTTCGACCGGATATGCACAGATTTCTTTTGAAATATACAAGAAGAGGATGCGACGCCGCATTCACACTGTGAAATGAAAGATTATATTATTGTTTATAAAAATTTACTCTTAGCAACACCGTTAGAATACGATCAAGGTTATGGAGTACAGATATTAGTAAAGCAAACTACCACGAGACTAACAGGAAGAGTATTACTATTTTGTGTGTTTTTTAACATCATGGTCACAAACAAGATTACACAGGCAGATGAATTAGCTGGTTAGTTCCGAATGACATGACAACTTTTTTCGTAAAATTAAATAAGTGACTAAGCTGGAATCCAGCTGCTTTAGAATGTCAGCGGGTGATATTCAAAGAGCCCAAAAACTTGATATTTGTCCACAACGGGAATGAGAACTCTGCCATTTATTTATGCCGTTGTTTGACCTTTGAAAAATGAATGAGCTCTGAAAAGTTTCAATATATAAGTAGTTATTACCTGTAATATATACACCATTATTATTTGTGCCGATCTCAAGACAACCACAGTTCCCGCACGCTCGTAATGAAGGGCAACAGTCACGAAATATTGCCCCAAATTACCCAACAGTCCAACAGAAAAAAGCATCGGTAAATCCTTCCAACATGGATATTGGAATTCTCCTAGAGCCATCAATACTATTGTTGTCGTTATTGATCCACAAAATGCATAGTACAATACATGGAGCATTGGATATGTTTGGCGACCAAGTTTTCTTATGATGATTACAGAGAGAGAGGTTAAAGATGCTGCCGATATTCCATATAACACTCCGATGATGTTTTCATCTTCTTGCTCATTTTCATCATAAAAAAGAAAACTAGGTTTTGCTATCAAGACTACTCCAATCATCGACAAAATAGCAAAGAATCCATCAAATATAGTCAAACTTTCTTTGAGCAAAAGTCTAGCAAGAAAAGGCACCATGATCAAACGAAGATACGATATGGTGACGGCGTTACCAGCAGATAATTTGCCAATTGAAATAAACAAAAGTATCATTCCACCGGAGCCTACGAAACCTCTGGCCCACAACAAATGTTTGAGGTGTTTTGGTCCAGTAATATCGACTTCATTGCTCTTGTATTGCAACAGTGGTAGAAGTGTAAGAAACTGTACGTAACATCGCGAAAGACTAATCTGAGTTGGATGTAAGTCCGAAGATAATATTTTTGTGAATATAGCAATGAATGATAAAAATAACCCAGAGAGCAGCGCACATATAATCCCAATTCCTGGTATTCTCTCGATCCACGTTCTTTTTTTATTTTGATTGCTGTCTGTCATGACAAAACTATATTTTATAAATTTTAATATTTTTGTCGATCGATATTTTAATCGATTAAAGGTATCTAAAACAAAGACATGCAGACATTCAACCCTTTAATCTTAATATACGATTTTTGTTAACTCTCAGGGTTTAGGATAGCATACTCGATCTCAATAATGCTTTCGGAAATATGACCACTGGGTTTGCGTAATTGAAATTCCTGAATAGGACAATTGTTCTTTTCAAGAAAGTGTCAAAGTGGGCGGGGGATAATTTATCCATATCAAAATCTCCAGAGTTCAGATGCGAAAGTAAAGAGCCCGATTACAGAGGAGAATAAGGTGGGCAACCTTTTTCGGCTCGCGTGCCAAAATCAGCTGAATTCAACGGCAAAATTATTCAACGTGCCGACCAAAATTAAAAATATTGCTTTGCTATTTTTCAAAGCAAAAATACACAATAATTACCTTTTCCGCATGTACAGACAGATTCACTATTCGCTCGCGTGTCGAATAAATGGGGTCGCTTGCCAAGTTTGGCACGCGTGCCAGGGCTTGCCTACCCCTGGTATAGAGAGTTACAAGCTTATGCAGGGCCCGAATAATCTTACCGTGAGCATCAGATATAGACCGACCGACCAGTGGCGTTTCTACGTAAAATGGCGCCCATGGCAATGTTTAAAAATTGCCAAAAATTTTAAATATTTGGTTGAAATTTTATATGGACTGTTATTAAAAATGAGATACTTGTGCTTTTGAGTAAAATACGAGTTTCAGTTATTTTTATTTCGAAATTTTTTTATAAAAAACTTTTCGTCATTTTTGCGTTTTCCAAACGGCGCACATGGCACTAGTCATGGCTGCCGCACCCCAGATACGCCACTGAGACTGACTGATCAATGTTCACTGATCACGGTTTGAATTGCTATCTCAACTGTGTGAGGCTACTACGCGGAATAGACGAACTTTCCATGATGGGTTGGGTAATTTTAAGCTTTATATATTTAACTGTAATTTTCCCTCCATACCATGTTGGTCGACCTCCACCAATGTATATATATTTTATATATATATATAGGCTAATATATATATGTAAAAACAAACTAATGTCAACAAACCTCCGCTCAAGTGCGATAGGCATCACTTCCTGATCAATGTGGAGTCGTTATTGATACTTGTGCATATGTGCCAGGCCTTGTGCATATTCAAACATATTGGCACAGAAATTGTCTACAAATGAACCGCCTTGTAACCGCGGCCGCTGTTGACTTGCACGAAGGAAAATCTGCGAACATGTTACAATACAGTACATTGAATTCGGAATGGAGCGTGCCTGACTGCATGGATACAATAAAGCTGGCATGACATCACTAAAACGGGCATTACATCATGTATCCCAGTCAACCAATCGTTGCGACCAGATTATTTGTTGCAAATGAGATACAATATCTTCAAATTATCGAAAATGGCTTGGAATTCAGATGAGCGCCGTGCCGACACCAACACGCCCAAGCTCTGTTTGTTAGCAGTCACAAATATAACTGACATCCTGACACAAATGACCAATTATTGTAAATAAAAAATGCAAATTGTTGCCTTATTATATAGGATGCTCTCCAAAAACGAAACCCAGTCCATTTGGAACACATGGTATGGATTTCGTTTTTAGGGTCACCCTGTATTACTATAACGGTCGTACAACATCTAAATGTCTAATCTCAATACATTCTTTCACTATTTAACCGTGTTTCGTCGTTAAACCTTTCAACAAACTACGTACTACAAGCGCGGGTAAATATTACACAACAGCACGTTTGCAATGCCGTGTGTGGTCTGCGTCAGGGGAATAATACACCGTGCTTCGTAAAGCAAAGTCAACAATATCTTCAAATAGATATGAATTGATATTGCAACATAACAGTCTACTAGAGGAGAAAGTAACGTATGCATGGCGCGAAATATCAAACATAACATATTCTTGCAAAGTAACTTCTAACTTTCTAATTCACCATATTAGGTTGGTATGAGATCCCAGCGTCATGACCTACTCTGGTGCGTGATCTTATCTGCTGAACGTGATATCCATTGCATTAAGACACTCTTATAGAATTCAATTCCAAACCCCTGTTATAATTTTGTTAGAGTTAATACTAAAATCACTGAGATTACATACCTAACGTGGCACCCAATTATGTAAATTATAGTGTGCCATCACTGGTTGGCCTAACCTGACCTGGGTACCATTTATTTATGTCATTGCAAGAGAAGTTATTGCCAAACGTACACGACGACCAAATATTGATAATTTCTTCCTCAATGAGGCGTGCGGAAAGCCATGTTGATTTCTGTAACTTCATCGATAGGTTTCCATGCATGACCAGCAGCGAGCAAAATCAAAAATTGAAGCACCAACGACTAATATGCTTGAGGCGTGTTATTTATTTCAGTGAGCTTGTTGCAACAAGTTATTTCGATACGAATGCTGTCTTGATCTTTCTAAGACAAGTTGAGTCGATCTCGAGAGTTTCATAACTATTGTTAGCATTTGAATTAGTTTAAATTATTGTAGGAATTGGCACGTAAAGTTTTACTGTCCTTACTAATTATTTTAAATACCGGTGTGAAATATGAACCTGGTAGAATTTCGACACAATACAGGCCGTCCACACAAAATTCTGATCTGAAACGCACACAAATTTATCTTCATTTCCATATAACTGCAGTCTACTGAATTAACCACAATACATCACATGAACAAGGCGTGGGCTTTCAGTGGTCAAAATTTGTCTCAAATTTCTAAGAGCTCAAGTCGTGGTCAAAATCTTTGTCAATAGTGGGAAATTGAGGCCTGAGTCGTTTTTGAACAAATAACCTCGGTTGTGACTTCATTACAATGTAACACGAAGCGGTTCAGGCAATCTTTAATTTTAAAAATGATTCCGATTACTTTTACAGAATATTACTCAATATAAATTAAATTACTCAATATAACAATTCGTAATAAAATGAGTGTCGCAAGAAAGGTGACATAAGGAAAACACGGCGGAAACGTATTTCTTTGCCCATCACACAGTGTCTGGTTTGATTTCAAGTAATATCTGTCACGAAAGAATAATTCTCGGGAATTAACTTTAAGATGACTGAAGGCTTTATATGTCTTCTTTTAAAAGAACGCCACCCATGCAACATAATAATAGTCTGATAAGAACGGTAAACTCTCGTCGTTTATTAGATTTAAAGTAAGTAAACTCGCAACATTTCGATCACTTTTGGGTTTTGTCCTAATTGCGGCCCGCGAAACCTCGTCAAAAGTTTTTGCGGTCCTTCAACCCAGCAACCTTGAACCACCCTGAGGTAGACTACTAGGTACCGGTATAATTTCAAACTACAGTTGTGACGTGTATCCTTTGGTATCCCGATTCACGTTAGGACTGGAGACATGAACCTTCATTGTCACACTCCCTCAGGATTAGAGCTCAACCGATATATCGGCCCGATATTGCGTGTTTGCCGATATATCATATCGGCAGTATGATTCACTTGGCTATATATAACAGTTGAAAAACCTAAAAATGTTCGTAAGAGTTGTTTTATTTACTGTTGGTTGTGATTATTTTTAATGGATAATACACTTATGTGGTTTATTGTTTTTATAATTTAATCACACATGAGGGGACACCAAAGTCTTCAGTGCTTAGGGCACCAAAGAGGCTTTATCCGCCCCTGCCTATGGGTATATTCACTTGGCTAACACAGACAGTCCCCGAACTCGTAATAGAACTAAAATAATGAAAATCGGAATAAAATTATGACCTAACCATAACCTGATACACACACTACGAGAGTACCGAATTTTCAGCAGATCTCCCTGCTTAGTTGTAACTCAAAACTTTATTATTTATTTTGATTGACGGAGAAGACAAAAGTAAAATATACGTAGCCAATATTTTTTTGGATCATACTTCTTGAACAACCTTTCTTACAACATTTCAGTTCCCCGTGCAATTCTCAATGGTCTCACGAAGCATACCATGTTATTTGCAAATTACTTACCCGATACAAAGACGCGAGATTCACATATATATATATATATACCATTTTTGTCGTGTCAAATCAAATTTTGTTTATCGAAATGGACATAAATGTGTTTCAAAAGTCCCCACCAATGGATAATATCAATTTTGAACTGCAGCAATACACCGATGTGGTTATCCTTGTCGGTTGCATTAGTTTGAGAATTTCGGTAAGTGTTGTGAGAATAATTCACAAAAAAACTTCAACGCGATGGATGTTTATGATTTATTGTGGTGATAGTAATTCTTAAAGTTTCCTTAAAATTTGATGGAATTATTTTTATAGCAATATGCAAGTTAAATGATGAGAGTTATTGAGAATTGTTTAAACATTTCGAAACTTGAACTAGAAAAATCCAATTACTTTCAAGTCACCAAAATAATTGCCGTAAACGAACAAAATTTCTTTTTTTCCAATCTTACCTAAAACCTCCCTCAGTTTCACTTCGATTCTCAATTAAATTGACAATTTGAATTTGCATAGTAAACAACAGCAACTATTATCATTTTTAAAATTCAAAATTACTTTCATGGCGTTTAAACTTAACGTCCAAAAATTAGAATTTTATTTTCGTCTGACATACAATATTTCAACCGCAATTCACGAAAGGGTCCGCATTTCTCTCCAGAAATCGAGTCCGTGACACCGATTTTGCTGAAAAGAGCAGCAGATGACGTCAAATAATATTTGATATGGAATTGCATTATTTTGAATGATTGATACATAGGGAATTATGATTTTAGTTTCTGGGGTTATGAATATATCAATAAAAACTAGTGTAAAAATATCTATATATATTGAAACTTCAATCGCAAAAATAACCAATTAACAATAGGCTACAATTTACAGATAATAAGGCGAAAGTATGTTTTTTGTTTTATTTCAAAAAACACGTGAAATACGTGGATGGAACGTAAATATCCAAAATGAAGAAAAGTGAATATCCCAAATAAACGGGCAGGATCAAATCTAACTAATCTATTAACTAGTTTCACGCGCCCTCGAAAAATTGTCTACGCCCTACAGTTTGAGAACCACTGGTTTAGAGATGATATTCATTCAGCAATCTAAAAGAGAAATAAGTCGTCCCTTACATGCGATACGGAGGTGAATGCCTCCATACATTTCACTATTCAAGTTAATCTTCAGGCCTTCAAATTTCAAAATTACCAATCACGCCTTCTTCTGAAGGCGTGAATAAATATTTAACGATCCCAAAACACACTCGGTGATTGATATATTCAGTAGAACGCAATTACCCGTTAAGATCTGTTCCGTTGTTTTGAATCTTTTTAAAATGATTTTTCGAATTTTGATAAAAAGCTGGCCCACAGTACATATATGATGATATAATTGGGTAATCATACATCCGAGCTCTTATTCGGAAATCTTGCAACAATAAACGTATCCGACATGCGGCAATGCAGACCCGTCGGTTCTGACACCCCATTGCGGAGAACCATAGTGATCTCCATGGATCCAGCAAGTCCGACCTAGAATTCAGAATGTCAATTATTATTTTACGTTAGGACTCATCACATACTTAGTTTGGATTAGCAATGCGGTCAATATTGAAAAAATAATGAAAATTACAGAAAATATAAATATTTGTTACACCAGGCGTAAACATTACATAAAAACGTCACAAAGTATGTCTCAAAACAAGCACTTGGAATTTCCATGCATTATCTTTTTTCCAAATCTTTGATTTGACGTGAATTATTATCAAAAGAAAGGCACTCGAAAATTGAAGATAACATAATTCAATATGGATCGTTTTGTTATTATGTTGTCATTCTTATTGTTATTATTTTTCTCTTTAATTATGGGGTGTACTAAGGTATTGTGTATTGAACTGCAAGTCCTTTCTCCTTGTTTACTTTCTACTTCGGATCCGTATGTGTCAGTTGCCACAGGGATGCTTGACTGAGATAGTATTATAAAGATAAATAAAAATAACATAATCTCTTTCCATTAAATAGTATATTTATGAGCTTTCGTTAGATCATGGTCTTAATCTTAACTTCTGTTATCTAACGAAAGCTCATGAATATATCCTTGATATTTCGTGGAAAGAGATTATGTTATTATTATTTCTTTTTATTTACTACACCAATTTTCTTGGAATATTTGGTTATTAAAGATTGTTGTTGTCGCTAGAAGACCATTTGTTCCCAAATTTTCTATGAGGTCTGATATTTTATCTAAAATTCCATTGTTTTGTTTTTATATAGGGGAACACGTTTTTATGACAGCCGCATTTGATTTTGCGAACTCGTGCCATGCGAAAGTCGGAGGTTATTTGATAACGGTGACGCACTGAAGACTGGTTACTGCAAAGTACTTCGTTGTGGCTTTCGTGTTCATATATTTGATCATCGCTTTGTTGATTTTGCAACCACACTTATCTTGGTTATCTCCAATTTGAATCCATTCATTAGTTGAATCTTTAACTGCCACCCACATGTCCTGATTCTCGATAACATCGTAAACTGGTAGGTTATTTTGACAAACATCCGAAGAAGAACATAATCTTCGATCTTGTTCCAACTTCCAAACAATGCTGTTTTGAAGTTTCATACGTAGCGTTCTTACCGATGAAATTATAGGTCATATCTAGGCATTTTAATATAAACTGTTAGGAAAAGAAAAAATGAAAGGTAAAACAAATGTAAGAGGCGTTTTATATCTTGGCTACGAACAAGAATATAAACACACAGACGCTGATTTTATGGTTTATGAAGCTATTATGTTTTTAGGAGCGCCGCTGTCTTTTCAGTTGATCGCGAACTTCCTAATATTTAAATATATATATTACACTAATTTATGAAAAATATAATTTTTTACCAAGAAACAAACACTCTTTGTGGAGATAGCTGATTTGGAACAAATTATTAATCGGTGCTATCGCGTACAATTATTGCAATCTTTCATACGAATATATATATAATAGCAGTCATAATAAAATTGTATAATAATACTTTTTTTAATAGTGGAGCTTTCAGATGTGGAGAATGTAACTTCGTAATTACTTTGCTGAGTTGAATGTGTTTCCTCGTCTTGATAAACCTGGGTTGAGATGGTCACAGCGTCATGAGGATTTTCCAGCAAATACCATTCGAAGAGTTGCTCCAATTGTTTTCTTAATTCTGTAATAACAATGCAGGAATATTTTAACACGATAGTATTGAAGTATTTCTGTACAAGATGACGTATGACTCAGCAAATGGGTAACGTGTACCACAGCTGACGACGACAAGCGTTATACATGTCGTTCCGATAGATGTAAAGAAGGGGTGTGCAACCTTTAATGGAGGAGGGCCACATTCAAATAACTGGGAGAAATCGCGGACATCTTTATTTAACATAGGCTAAAGTAGCAGCAAGCGCGAAAATTTTGGGTATTGATCTTACTGCACGCGTGGTTCACTTCGCACAAGCTAGCTGATAGGGCATTGTAACTCGTTCCGCGGGTCGCAAACAATTCAAAATAGGCACGTCTCCGCGGGCCGCAGGTTTCACACCCCTGAAAAGCATGTCATTTTAATTCAGGTTACGTATAGTGACATACGTACAATTTCTGAAATTTGGTATCTGTTGTTTGTGGGTTCGATACAAAGGTGAACCAATTTTTACAGTTTTGAATCCCACCACTGCCTACATATGAGTAAATTTCTATCGTGAATTCAAATAATGTCTATTTTCATATTTCATTGAAAGATATTCAGATATGTTTCAATGGTTTATCAAATTAATCCAGTTCTCACCTACCTCGTTTAATGCCTGTAAAATATATTATGAGTGTTACGTTTTAAATCATAGAGTTTAGAGAAATTGTTTCACTACAATAAAAAATGAATGAGGGTAGATGATCACAGTGTATATCAGATTCCCATTCCATCATAGCTAGAGAAAGAATAATGGGAATCTTGGTGATGTTGTTCACATCTTATTATAGCTTTACGTTTTGTTTAATTTTTTGTACTTTTTAACGCAGTCAATGCCGCATTGCGGATGTATTTGCATGGCGAACTGGTGGCAGCAGGGCGGCAGGGAGTATGCACGAAAGAACTTTATCACGACCCAATTGATGCATATATTTCATATATATTTATTCAATCCGATGATAAAAATTAAAAGCCAACTTACCGTGACTACTCTTTGTTTGGAACTATCTGGCCCATCGTTGAAATGAAATTTCACAGTAATGTCAGCTATTAAAAATGGTATTTGATATTTATTGATTTCGTGGTATATGCTGTAGATCTACTGTCATATATGGCTAACAGCGGTAATATCACAATAGAATAAAGTTGCAAAACATAATTAAAATGTAATACAATTTTTATATTTCACATTTTGAGTTTTTGTGTAATTTGTATCTGTGCGACCAACTGCACATAATTCAAGTTATTATTTGTTGTTTTACATATAATTTTGTTTGTATATATATTAACATTAGAGTCCAATTCTTTAGGATTGTATCCTTCTCGATATACAATGGCCGAAGATTTTCTGTTTTGAAAACCAGCCTTGTTTTTGAGTGGTATTTTTCACGTAGGCTATAGCATAGCATTATAACTGCTTTTGAGTCAGCCCTTTGAAATTTGAAATAATAAAGAATACAAATAAATAGCCTACCTGAGGTTATGACTCCAAAACATACTAGCAATGTGAACGTATACGAAAACATGTGATGATTCATAATATTTATCAATGTATCCCAATGTAATACCAATCTCAAGTCAAAATACAATAAATAATCGTCAATTTATAACCTTTTAGGTGATATAAGAGGGTTGATGCACACTAACACAAATATTTTGCTGTAACGTTTCGTCGGACCAAAGTAGACATACACATAGCGTAAGGGTGCAGCAAGACTGCACAGCACTTTGAATAGGAAATTTTATTCTTGCTAACATCCTTGTACCATATGCATACGGATCCGTCAAGACACAAAGGCTTAGAAGAAGGATAAGTAGTTAGTCCCGCAGAAACCAAACCAATAGCGCAATTATATCTTTTTTTATTCGATAATAGGTAACATAACTTCTGTCTAATTGCGTACGTTGTAATCAGGAAGTTAAACAATGCGTATATATGAACTAATTTCACCTACCTACTGCAAATCGAACTGGTATGACATTTGTTGACTGTAAATTAGTTCACGAAGTAGGAAACCATCGTTGAACTCTTTTAAATCATTTCCTGACCTCTGACCCCAGAAATTATCTTCTATATCTCTGTATCGTGATTTTGAGAATGTGTTTGTAATTTGGCGTGGAAAAACTAAATTGTCTCATTAAAATCGCCCATTTTATTTTGTACTGAACGAGTCATAGAAAGAACCAGAAAGCTATGGACGATTTGTACGCTAATTTAGAAGTATTACTAAAAATTCCCAACAAAATTAACATCAAAAATTCGACGATGGTCGCAGCGAGGAGATGGCCACGTACGTACGTATCGCATAGACACAGGTATACGCTTTCATGTCTTTCTAAAAAAGAGGGTGAACGTCCATATTCGAGACGACTTGGCTTTTCCTCCCAGTTTATGTCTGTTTTCTTAAAAAGGCCTAATAAACGTTTTAAGTGGACAATTTGACATCTGGTAGAAGTGTTAGCTCGTAAAATGCAAATAAACGTATTGACCTGTAAGTTTTAAATTTTTAGAATTTTTCTCAGCTATTTTTCGAATATGAAGTGAGAAGGTGTGATTTACTCTGGAATTGGGTTTTAATTGTAAATAAAATTCTCATTTTCGCATGATTTTGCTTACTGTCGAAAAAATTATCACTCGAATTTTCATAAACAAGCATATTGTATTTGGAAATTGTATTTCAAAATATCTTTCAAAATTATGATTAAATTCACATTGTTATTTGATAAAATCAAATTCAATTTCAATCGGAAATTTTATTTTAAAGTGTATCACTAATATAAAATAGTACAGTTACATTAATTTAGATTGCAGTTCCCAAGTTTAGAAATAGCAATTCACATTGTATAATATAAACAAAAAGTTACAGATATTTATTCAGAATTCAGGCAACATAAAACATATCCAACATGCTCAACAAAAGATCCGTCGGTTCGAATTCCCCACGGTGGAGCATCATAACGATCTCCGTGAATCCAGCAAGTCCGACCTAAAAATACAATGAGCTCAATATATCATGCCGAATATATATTCCAGCTGTAAAAAGTTGATAAAATTCGTTACAAAGCCAAAGCCAACATACGCGAATCGCGTATTTGAAAAATAAGGTAATCTTATAGGCCCACCGATAATGATTTTTCTTTACTATCATTTCAGAATATGATTCATGTTAAATACAAAGCACTAGGAAATAGCATACAATGGCAGCTCAAATGTGAAAAAATAGCTTTTCACGACTACAAGAAGAAAAATACTAACAACAAGAACAACAACATAATAACAAACAATATACAGTACAGCTGTGTCTAATAACTACAATAATGATTGTATTCTATCGGATCTGCACTTGTTTATAATGTTGTTGTTTGTACTTTTCTATTTGTTGGTTTTCTCGTTAGCTACTGGACACAGTGCTTTAAAATTTCTAGTAGTTTAAAGATTATTATCGTCGCTAGATATTTTCATTTTATCTTAATTTCCTATGAATCATGGAGGATCCGATTTTTGGATCCAAAATTTCGTTGTTGTATTTTTATCCATTGAACACCGTTTGAGTCGCGTAATCTACCGACTCGGCGGTTAGAAATTGAACATTCGTGTCCACATATTTGAGCTTTTTTCTCTTGTTAAAATGAGCTCCTTACCACCGGAATCTCCAATCTCTATCCATTCGTTTGTTCTATCTTGAACTGCCATCCACATATCTCCGTTGATAACACCAGAAACTGGTACGTTCTTCGGACAGACCTCTGAAGAATAACATAATCTTCTTCCTTGCTCTGAGCAATGTTGTTTTGAAGTTTCATAGGTCGCTGCTTTTCCGATGTATTGATATTTCATTCCTGTAAATTTATTAATAGATAGTCTTTAGAAAAGCAACAGAATGAACAAAATTTGATGAAGAAATTATATTCTGTATAAAACCAACGAAACAAAACTGTGATCGCTACGCTCTTGGTTCAGAGTAACAAATACTGTGTTCGGGGACTAGCCAAGTGACTCCCGTAGTATTTGTACCTAAAATTATGGCCTAACCCTAACCTGGTACAAATACTACGTTCCGGTGCCCGCCATCTTGGTTCACATACTTCGGGAGTAGTGTATTACATGCTGTTGTTTGACAGACGACAACGTTTGTTTTCACTTGCATAAAATAACTCAACAACTACCTAGACTCTAGGTATACTTCGTGACTACGAGGACAGCAGAAGACAAATCCTTTGTGTGCATGAGCTGCAGCGGATATTCCCCACGATGGCGGACTCCCAAGATCGCGATGATGCAAAAAGCAAGATATATATAATAGCAGTCATAATAAAATTGTATATTAATACTTTTTTTAATAGTGGAGCTTTCAGTTGTGGAGGATGTAACTTCGTAACTACTTTGCTGAGTTGAATGTGTTTCCTCGTCTTGATAAACCTGGGTTGAGATGGTCACAGCGTCATGAGGATTTTCCAGCAAATACCATTCGAAGAGTTGCTCCAATTGTTTTCTTAATTCTGTAATAACAATGCAGGAATATTTTAACACGATAGTATTGAAGTATTTCTGTACAAGATGACGTATGACTCAGAAAATGGGTAACGTATACCACAGCTGGCGACGACAAGCGTTATACATGTCGTTTTAATAGATGCATGTAAAGAAGGGGTGTGCAACCTTTAATGGAGGAGGGCCACATTCAAACATAGGCACGTCTCCTCGGGCTGCACATGTTTCCCTTGTAGGTCGTATTTTGCCCGCGGGCCGAAGGTTTCACACCCCTGAAAAGCATGTTATTTTAATTCAGGTTACGTATAGTGACATACGTATAGTTTCTGAAATTTGGTATCTGTTGTTGGTGAGTTCGATACAAAGGTGAACCAATTCTCACAGTTTTGAATCCCACCACTGCCTACATATGAGTAAATTTCTATCGTGCATTCAACTAATGGCTATTTTCATATTTGATTGGAGGGTATTCAGATATGTTTTAATGGTTTATACGTAGGGAAAGGCGTATACGTATTATACTTATTTGAAGGAAGGTCAAATATATTCTCGAAGATTTATCGAATTAATCAATTGCTCACCTTCCTCGTTTGATGCCTGTAAAATATAATATGGGTGTTACCTTATGAATCATATTGCTTAGACTTTTGCAAGTTGTGTGGAGGGCAATGGAACAGATGAAATAAAAAGAGAAATTATTTCTCTAATGTTAAAAAAATAAATGAGGACAGATGATTACAGTACATCTCAGATTCCCAGTTTAGCTTGCTACAACAAGAATAATAGGGAATCTCTGAATATTGGGGATGTTCTTAACATTTTACTATAGCTTTTATTTTAGTTTAATTTTGTACTTTTTAACGCAGCATTGTGGATGTGTTTGCGCGACAAATTGATGGTAGCAAGCAGAAGGGGGGAGTATTCACGAATGAATTTTATAACAAACCAATTGATGCAGAAATTTCATTTTTCACCATCCGACAGTAAAAATTAAAAGCTAACTTACCGTGACTACTCTTTGTTTGAGATTATCTGACCCATAGTTGAAATGAAATTTCACAGTAATGTCAGCTAACAACAAAAAATGATTTGTTATACGGCTAATATAGGTGATGGCACAATAGAATAAACTTGCAACATGTAATCAAAATATAATGCCAATTTTATATTTCGTGTTTTGATAATTTGTATAAGTTGTATCTGTGCAATACTTCAAGATAGTATTTGTTGTTGTTCGTAATTTTATTTGTATATATATATATTTATTTGAATAGTGTTCAACATTAGAGTTCAATTCTTTCTGATATATCTCTATCGATATATAAGTGCCGACGATTTCTAACTGTTTTCAAAACCGGCCTTGTTTTAAATGGTATTGCATTGCATTGCATTATGACTGCTATTGAGCAAGAATTCAGTAAAGTTAGAATAAAAATGAATTCAAACAAATGACCTACCTGAGATTATGACTCCAAAACACACCAGCAATGTTAACGTATCCGAAAACATATAGTAGTACATAATAATTATCAATGCAGCCCAGTATAATACCAAGCTCAAATGAAAATAGAAAAATTAACGTCAGTTTATATCTTTTTTAAGTGATTTAAGATTTATGCTGCGCTCTAACACAAATATATATATATATATCTGTAAAATTCCGTCTAACCAAGGTCAGACTCCCTCAGACATACATTATTCAACTCGGTAGCAAGGCTACTCTTGAAACCACTTTGAATAGTTATCTTCAATCTTGCTATAGCATTCTCGTAACAAAAGAATAGAAGACAGATGATTAGTTTTAGTCCTGCAGAAACCAAATCAATAGATCAATTGTAACTTTTTTATTTGATGATACCTTTTGTGTAATTGCAAACGTCACAATCAGGAAGTTAAACTGTGCGTCATATGAACCAATTTCACCGACCTTCTGCGAAAAGAACTGGTATGAACGTTGACCACTGAAGTAGGCAACCATCGTTAAAACTTTTGTAAATCATTTTCCGACCTCTGACCCCAGAAATTATCCTCTATATTTCCGCATTCTGATTTTAAGAATGTGTTTGTAATTTGGCGTGTGAGGACTAAATTGCCACATTAAAATCGCCACTTTTATTCGGTACTGTTCGATTAGCTGCAATAAAAAGTACCAGAAACCAATGGGCGATTTTACCATTTACTTAAATTTACCATTATTACCAAAAATTCACAAACACAATCAACAAAAACAGTGATCGCAACGAGGAGATGACCACGGGCGTATTTATGCGCAATTTTGATTTTGTCGTGAAATGTCAGGGACACGATATATATACGTCTACATGTCTCTTAAAAAGAGGCGAAACGTTCCTCTTCGGGCGACATTGCCTTTTCTTCCAGTCCTACTCTGTTTTCTTAAAATGGTCTAATAAACGTATTAAGTGGATCATTCGATATCTCGTAGAAATCTGATCTCATAAAATGCAAGTAAACATATTGATATGTAAGTTTTAAATTATTAGTCCGGCAGTATCGTGGCCGAAGCTCGATTTGAAACAGAAAGTTTTTTTTATTGTTTAGATATAATGTCGATGATATAAATAATGATACCCAGGTGGGTGTGGAGTATATAATGTTGAGCAGTTTTTTCTAAGTGGATTTCAAGGCGCTCCGGAAGTATTTGTACCAAGATGACGCTCATCCGGAGCCCTAACCTGGTACACATACAATGTTCAGTTTGTGCGCCATCTTGATGGGAATACCTCGGGCGCTCCTTTTTGTTAATATAAACAATTATTTCATACATGGGTTAGTTTTGAATAAATAGTAACATTGAATCTCCGCACAATGTCAGAAATCCACTTTTTGAGTACAATAAGTGGTAGTTCATTTCACTAATATATATAAGCCAAGACTCATCGGAACCGGAACACTTCAGGTTCAGCATCGACTTTGACCAAATTAATATATGCCTGTGGAGATAGAGGGTATGTGTATGCGAAGCCGAGATGTGCACCTGCTATGCCAACATAGTTGAGTCAAAACAGTTTGATCGATAGTACATCACACACATTTTCTTGAGTGCTTCGGTTGTACGTGGTAACGCGCACATTTTTGCGCACATGCATCAAATTTCATTTGTTTATTGACCTATAGGTTTTGACGAGCTTTTGTGTATGATTTCATTCCATAGAATTTGTATGCTGTTCTAAATAATACTAGTTTCAGCTTTTTCATTCATTCAAACCGCGTGTTGGAAGTAAGTTTTGTAATATTGCGTGTTGGTTTTCAACTGGTTTATGGATATCCATCATTTGACATCCCTAAATCGGTGATGCCAGTAAATCTTCATTACAAAAAGATCGGTATCATCTGTAATAAAAACAGCAGTATTCACTCAAATGACAGCTGGGGGATGGATACTCATATTATCTGCTCCATCCCGTGGCGTTTCAATATGAAACCTGTCTTTTACCAGTTTACATGATTGCCAATTGGTATCTAAACTCAGCCAGAGACAAAAAGTTTCGGACTGCGGTTGGCGTGACGAAATGTTTTTAAATATACATTCTACAATAAGAATATTTGATTGCATATTATTGAAAGTTACGCCTTATATGTTTTTTCCCATTGCAATATTCCGTTACTGATATTCGATAATATGACGCTTATCTGACATAGTGTTTGCAAGTGTTTGGATGCAAAGTAGATAGGTATAATCTTTTCCACGCAGTTCAGATGGAAATGCGCGAATATATCTAAGAATCGCTAATATTGGTTTGCAATGCGATGAAATCCCATTTTGGCATTTCTGCCTCTCTCAATTGTCATTTGTTCATTCGATCATTTTTTGAAACATTCCCAACAACCACAATTAATGCTGTCATTAAACTTACAAAAGAAACACATAAAATCATTAACAGATGCATATCACCAAGTCCTAAGTAGATATTGCTGAATTGATCTTTATTTTACCATTTTTCCTTGAATTCTTTTTGGTAAACCTGTTACCTATCGTAAATACAGCACATTTGACTATGTTGTAGTGTAACTTTTTTGACCTCACTTTTTTGATATTTGTAGTTAGATCTCTTGGGGCTCTGTCAAACAAAGTTACATACAAAATATTGGTTGTAAGTTGCAAAACAATGTCATGTTGTTAGAATAGCCATTTTATTTACCCTTATTTTACCACCCGTATATCATTCATTGTCGAGAATATTGATGAAATCATAAAATCTAAACCCGTTTTCGCGAAGAAGCAAAAGTGTTGAGAGTCTTTGGTACTTTGAAAAGCATTGGCATGGAACATAAACATGAATCACATGCTTTTCTGGGATATACTATAACATGTGGCAATTTTCTCATTCGTGTTCTCGTGATAGCATTATCTTTCACTGCATCGTCGTGACCCTCCCGCTGCATAACAATCCTTGTTAACAAATAATTGACTGTTTTCCACCGGGTTTATATTTGCGCACAAACTGTGCGCAATCCACTTGAACCACTGCCGACTGCAATAGCAGGCTTGTATTGTTAATTGCAACAATAGCGGGTATTTTGGAATAGTACTCTTTATTCACGCGTATGTTTCAACAGTGTTTCCATATCTATGGGTCGCGACCCAAAGCTGGGTCGCCTGAAAATATTTTCGGTACGATTTTTTTTCAACAAATACCTAAAAATTTTTGATTTTATTTCCTAGTAAATTTGGTGCTTCCGTGGTATGTGCACTAAGATGGCTCACAACCTGAACATAGTATGTGTACTAGGTTAGACACTAATACAAATATCAACCCGTAAAAAAAAATTGCTCAAGGCTGCAAACTCCACACCCATGTAGAAATGATGGGCAAGGGCCCCAAGATGAATGATCACAAATAAAAAAAACTTTATGTCTGAAAATAAGGTTAGATCCAAAAAGGCCCCTCATCTGTCGGACTATATTAGAATTCTTCTCAACCATTACTCGAATATGATGTGACAGAGCGTGATTAACACTAGAATTGGGTTTTATTTATAAATAAAATTCTCATTTTTGCATGGTTTTGCTCTTTGTTGAAAAAGTATTATTTGAACTGTCATAAACAAGCATATTGTAATTGAAAATTGTAATTTGAAATATCTTTCAAGTTAAGAACTTTCAGTTCCCAAGTTGAGAAAAAAGCAATTCAAAAATGGTTACAGATATTTAATCAGAATTTTGGCAACATAAAACATATCCAACATGTTCGGCTAAAGATCCGTCGGTTCGGGTTCCCCACGTTGCAGTACCATGACGAACTCCGTGAATCCAGCAAGTCCGACCTAAAAATACATATACAAGGAACTCGTTATATCATGCTCAAGGCCCGATATATATATATATATATATGACAAATGCGTTGAAAAGCCAGCAGTTTTACTCTAATCAAGCATTTGAAATATGTGTAATCCTATCGTATATTGATCATTTTCTTGCTTTATCACCATTTCAGAATATGTTTCATGTTAAATGCAAAGCACTTTTGAATGAAATAACATACAATGGCAGCTCAGATGTGATAATATCGCTTTTCACAACAACAAGAAAAAAAATACTAACAACAAGAACGACAACATGATAAAAAAAAACAATCCATAGTACAGCTCGTGTCTAATAACTACAATAATGGTTGTATGATATCTAATCTGCCACTGTATGTTAGTATGTTGTTGTTCTCGTCGTTCGTACTTTTCTATTTGTTGCTTTTCTTTTTAACTACTGGACAAAGTGCTCTAAAATTATCAGAGGTTGAAGATTGGTATTGTCGCTTTTTTGTAATTGATCTCAAATTTTCTATGAATCCTAAGAGATCTGATATCAAAAATTTCGCTTTGCTATTTTTATTCGTGGAACACCATTTTTATACCGCCAAGCGTGACCGCCTACCTCTACCTGGTTTTGATTTTGCGTACTCCTTGCTCAGACACGTTTCAATAAGAGTCGCGTGGGCTACCGGCACTACGGTAATTGGACATTCGTGTCCACATATTTGAGTTTTTTCTCTTGTTAAAATGAGCATCCTTACCACTGGAATCTCCAATCTCTATCCATTCGTTTGTTCTATCTTGAACTGCCACCCACATATCTCCGTTGATAACACCAAAAACTGGTACGTTCTTCTGACAGACCTCTGAAGAATAACATAATCTTCTTCCCTGCTCTGAGCAATGTTGTTTTGAAGTTTCATAGGTCGCTGCTTTTCCGATGTATTGATATTTCATTCCTGTAAATTTATTAATAGATAGTCTTTAGAAGAGCAACAGAATGAACAAAATTTGATGAAGAAATTATATTCTGTATAAAACCAACGAAACAAAACTGTGATCGCTACGCTCTTGGTTCAGAGTAACAAATACTGTGTAAAATTTCACTGATTCAAAAGACAAAAATCAAATTGTATTTACATATTTTTGAGAAAAGATTATTTTTTTTCGGTACTCCAGAAGAATGTGAACCGAGATGGCGGACACGGAAACATAGTATGTCTATCAGGTTAGGGTTGGGCAATGGTTTTATTCCAGTTTTCCTTATTTTAGTTCTATTGCTAGTTCGGGGACTATCCAAGTGACTCCCGTAGTATTTGTTCCTGAAATTATGGCCTAACCCTAACCTGGTACACATACTACGTTCCGGTGCCCGCCATCTTGGTTCACATACTTTGAGAGTATTGTATTATATGCTGTTGTTTGACAGACGACAACGTTTGTTTTCACTTGCATAAAATACCTCAACAACTACCTGGATCGACTTGGTCTACTTCGTGACTACGAGGACAGCAGAAGACAAATCCTTTGTGTGCATGAGCTGCAGCGGATATTCCCCACGATGGCGGACTCCCAAGATCGCGCTGATGCAAGAAGCAAGATCTCTCTAAATGAAAATGGAGGATGTAATTTTAAAAGCGTAGAACTGTCACACAAAAGTGCAAAACGGGTTCAATTCCAAGACAAGTATAAATATGGCTTATGAGAATGATTAGGTGAATCCTTTTTGCGAAAGAAAGTAAAAGAAATTATATAACAATGTTAGGGTAAAGACAGTACGCATTGTCAATCATGTTGTCGTCAAGATGAATAATGATAGAAATGAATCGAATACTCTTTCACTTTTGAAAACAAAATCAGGGCTGTAAAAGTTACGAAAGCCGTCAATTTATATTCTTCTTCAGTGCATCGAGGATCGAGACTGGTAAATCAGGATGGTAAATCACTGCGGTTTCCAGAATTTAAAAACTTAAAAATCTGCATTCAATGGATCTGAAACAAATCATTTGAGACTGAAATGTCGCTATGGAAATCGAATATTCTTGTGGTCTAACATCAACCGCGTCACTACACAAAATAAGCAAATACATACGCAAATAATCTCCAGCCTCTAGCCACTCGTTGTTTTTATTAATGATAGGAACCCAATTATCGCCTGGGATGACGTCGACTACTAATTGTTTTCCTCCATTTTTGTCGACACACAATTCTTGTGAAGAGCACAATCTTTTCCCAAGTACATGGCAAAAAGATTTTCCACTTTCCCATGTAATAGTTTTGGTATAAAAATGAAGAATTGGACCTGAATTAAAATAAAATGAATCAATCTCTAGAAATTTATAACACACACGCACCAGCAAGTCAGTAAGTTTCAACCTTTCAAACCGATTTCCGATTTCAGAATATAACGAAACGGATATATAATGTTACAGCGTGCGGTACGAGTTAAGAAAATGCCGATTACTGACAAATAAAGTTCTGTTATTATGCCATAAAAACGCAAAAGAGTATGCGCACAGTTGATTTTCATTAACACGCAACAGACTCTTCTTAACGCCAAATAAGTAATCTTTGATTCACAATTTTATCATTTTATAGCATGAAATATTTTATGCCAATCAGAAAAATTAAAAAATAATTTGACGCTGAACACATGAAGAACTTTCGTGGGTCACGCGTGTTCCGCGGAACATCAGTCGGTCGGGATCAGTATGCTTTCCGGAATTCCAATTTGAGGGTTTTGTTTACAAATTTAGGGTGTGGTAGAGATTTTGCCACAAGAGTTGTTTAAAAAACGTGTAATGTACTTGACTGACGACCTGCGCTGATACGCCACTTTCAGGGATATTAAAATGCAATTATAATAAAGTTAGGAATTAAAGTGTGTTGTCACACCTCGAATTTTATTTTGGGGGATCAAAAATTTAATTTTTGATTATAAAGCATATCAAATTTTTTCAGAGGGTATCACCTGACTTCTGAGCAATCCAAGTCGAATTTATCTGGAAGTACAAATTATTTAGCTTTTTTTTCAGCTAAATTACTAAATCGCCTTGCCGGATTCACTCTTGCACGGTATAAATATAAATGAGAAATTCTGACTTGATCTAACCGTCATTATCCTCCTTCAGTTGAGCTTTGAATTCTTCCATGTTAACACCTAATCCTTGTTCACCTTTTTGTCCTTTGGGCCCCAAAGCACCCTGTGATATATAAGATATTAGAATTGCAATGATCGTTACGTGTAGCAATCGCACCAGAGGTCGGAATCAAACGACTGCCATAATCATATCAGTGGTTCTCGAACTTTTTAAGCCGCGCCCCCTTTTTAGAATTCGTCAAGTCTCGCGCCCTGCCTAAAAAATAACTAGTTTACAATGAGCCGCAAAACAGATAGTGATGTTGTGTGTTGTCTTGTATGTAGTAAAGTATGTTTTATTCCACATTGAAAATACTTGAATGGAACACCAATATCCAAAATAAAGAAATGTAAATATCCAAAATAAGGCAGGCAAGATCAATTCTAACAAAGATTTATATTTTCCATTAGTTATACGTCCCCTTAAAAAACTGTCTACACCTCCCTTGTGGGAAGCGAAATAGTGTTTAGCATAATCAAATTTGTGTAACAATTTTATAGCATTTTTGCAGCGTCAATATTGCTTGCATAATTGATCTTCAACGTTGTAGCCAAGAGATTATGAGCGGCTGGAATTTTAGAAGCGGACTATAATCCGATTCAAAGAGACTAGAGAATATATATATATTTTTATTTGACATATTTATAAATTAAATAATCGACTATACACAGGTTTAAAAAAGTCCAACATAAATTCTGATGTTGGTATTCGAATCAAAATACGTCGACCCAAGAATTTGTTTTTCCAATGTGCGTTGGCAAATATTCATGGGAAATTTCTTTCAAGAAAGTTCAAAACAAGTTTTTTTATGCCCACAAATTGCGACAAATTGATTCAAAATTAAGCAATTCAACACAATGGTTTCCGGTTTGAGAGAATCCTTCGCAAATAGGTTTAAATCACATTTACGTCTAGTACTAGTATTAAATAAAATAATTTTTATTTTGACATATATATGAATATCTGCAAGAATTTGGCTATTTGAGTCCTATAACAGTGTTATTGAATTTAAAAGCAGCCTACTTGAAATTTAAAATAAAAATTGTCAAAATTACCATCGTTTCTACTCTGAAACGGGTCGGATACCAGTTTTCGTAATCAACGATAGATTGAATTGAATTGTGTACGGTTATAAACGCTTGAAAGTAACATAGCTAGTATTATACTTGTACAAACAAAAGAAACATATATATTAAAGTTTTCCCTCCTATAATAAATAATTCATTGTTTTTTAATTGAAAAATTTCCTGTTTTTAAATTTGTTTAAAGTACTCTAATACAAATTGCTCATATAGTAATAAATGCTCACTCTTTTTCCGGGCCTTCCCATATCGGACGATGTAGGCCAAGTTTTCCATTGTACGCTGTCTTCACATTCCGTTAGAACTTGGCACTCTTGCGAAAACGTTCCTTGCACAATTACAACGAGAAATATCAGACGGAGAAAATACCGTTCCATATCCGCACGCGCTTGACAAAAGTGGCAATGAAAATAAGCGCAGCTCGGGGCAATATTTATGGTTCATAGCAATATTATTCGTATCAATTGGCATGGGAATCACCGAATTGACGCTGTCGACCGCGAGGATTCGCGATTGTTAAAGATCAAAATTTATTGAAAAATCTTCACAATAACACATAAATACCATTTGGTATACATCATTATTCTTGTAGTCGACGAGGGAACGTAACAAATCAATCACTATGGTGGCCCATCGTTGTCGCGAGATAAAACATAAAAACGAGAAAAGCGAAATAGAAAACTAAAAATAAAATATTAATTAAGCAAAAACAAAACAAACAAAAATAAATAAAAAATTTAAATGCAAAAGATAGCAAATGAAATGAAAAATGGAATAAAAACGCGGGTGAAATAAGAATATAAAGATTGACAACACTGGTCCTGTGTAGATCGGGGTCTACTGCTTTCGTACCTTCGTGGATAATTTTAATACCAGTCGTAAGGAATGGCCATAACCAAATACTTGACTATTTTGAAAACGTTCAGAAAAAAAAATTTCGAATCTGGAATTTCGAATACATTCTAAAATCCTCCAAATATTTATTAACTTTTTTAAAATCCATGGACATAGGAATTAAATTTAATAATATCATCATTGTAAAGCAGCTATAAATACAAATGGAATATGTGATGATATTGAATTAGTGTTTTTCTTGCTTCTGAGAAAGGACAAACATACAGTATATACATACCTATGAGGTGTATCTTGGCGAGCAAAAAAAAAAACTATTTTCCAATGAAATAATTTGAGTTCTAAATAAAAATCGAAGTTCTTAACAGCACACACAATTTTTGACAAAACAAGAATAGAACAAAGCACGATGGTTTGAGAAAATATTCTAAGAAGCAGAAATAGGTAAAACTACAGCTATTTAACGTTCAAGTGAACTGGAGTTAATAAAAAAAAAATTAGCACAGATTTCGTTCTGCAAACAATACTGGGCCTGTGTAGATGGGGATCGACTGCTTTCGTACCTTTGTGAAAATTTTTGGTTACAGTCCTAGATAGCTGGCATGGTTTTTTATACTGCCAAATTCAAATTCGTCCAAATTGTGCGAATACACAAGAAGCGTGACCAATATTTCTGCAGATTATTGGGGCAACCGTAGAAACCAAGTTCAAAATAGTAGAAATCTCGACTGTTTGGGAAAATGTTCTAACAACAAAGCAGAAATGGCTACAATTACGGTACTCCCGTAGTATGTGTATTTTATTTCGATTTTTCTTATTTTAGTTCTATTACGATTTCGGGATAGATTTCAGTTATTTTACACAACTTGATGTAAAGTAGGCGAACAAAATTAGTTACCTCCATATTGGTACACATCCTTCTGGAGCGCCACAATTAGAGCTATATAACGTCCAAGTGAACTCAAGAAGGCAAGGTAAAATTTAGCACAGATGCACTGCAAACGATAATTGCAATGTGCAAACGTTTCCGACCATTCAAATCACGAATTATGTAGCTTTTATTAGTCTATGCAACGAGCGACTGCAGGAGTTTCCTGTTTTAGGGAGTCATTCTGCAAGTCATTGAGTTGTGTGTCTGAATATGGCGCAACAGTTTCTTATTACGTAATTCCCAAAATATCACCGGAAACCAGCTCAAACGTTAGCAAACTTTTTCTCAGGAGTAAAAGTATAACATAGCCATTCCTGGGTGTGGTAAAGACATTCTCGCTCGGCTTAGTCAGTCAATATGGAATTGGACTTGTATATTTTAAAAACGGATTTATTTCACAATTTAACATCGGATAAATGGACTTCGGTGATGTGTTGAATTTATATATTTTATACATTGTATTCTTATGTCATGTTTAAGTATATGTGGAAAGTATTATAATATATATGAACGCCATAATGTGAACTAGTTGTAATGAGATAGTGTTTTAAATGAGGTCTAACTATGAAAATAATATTTACTAGCAGTGTATCGCCAATAATTGTAAAATAAACCTGAAATGAAACTGGTAATCTGAAGTCGAGCGTGGACCGGTCTTAAATCGCTTCAATGGGAGTGATTTGGACATGTCTGTCTTTGGCCTCTGTTTGGGAAACGTTCATGCTTTTAGGCGAATGTTATTAATTAAACATCTATGCATCATTTTGTTTAGTTGTATTCCTCTTTTTTTTATTTCAAAAATCGACATAAAGTGGACTTATAGGTCGTTTTGTTATTATGTTGTTGTTAGTATTCTTTCTTTTTATAGTTGTTTTTGTTTTATTTTCTTGGGTTCTATGGAATTCGATTTTGAGTTGAAGTTCTGTGTGAAACGTCACCAAAACTAAGAATTGCGCGTGACGGTTCTGCTACGACATTTTAAAAATTAACTTCCCCGGTATTGGTATGGGCCCTTTGCGCAATAACACGTTCGAATTTTTAACCCCGATTTTTTAAGGTATCCGGATTCAAGCCAAAATACTTTTTACCACGAATTTAGGATCTCTTGGCCTTGCAACAATTTATTAAATGTTCGCTTCTAATTCCAAGAATGCTACCTTCCGCACGGAAAATTACTCTTTCCAACAAGTCGTCTTTTGTCTCGATACTCATAAACTGGAGAAGCCTTAGGAATTTTAGTGAACATTATTTTTTTTCAATTTTCAATCACTTATATCAGTAACGCGAGTATGTCTACAAAATGCGCAGCGCTCGAAATGAACTGGCCTTTTTGACAACCCGCTCACTGACTGAATCGCGCCGCCGTGAGAGATCCTCAAGTTTCAATTGATGACAACCGGTTGTTTGAGTGAGGGCCTAACCTAAATTATCAGCGGAGATCCTGGGCGCCTACCGGCTTGTAGTTTTATCAACAACTGCATACATGTTAGTTATAAATCGTTATCAGATAAACATCTGTGTGCGGTTATATATATTGTTTCAAGCGTCTTTCAACAACTTCTAATCAAACGTCTTGGGAGTTATTTGCGGTTACCAACAGCTGTTTCCCATGAGAATATCTCGATATCTCGAATTCTACTAAACACGGCCTTCAAAAATACCAATACCTTCTTAACTTTGTAACGCCAAAGAAAAAAACATTTAAATTTAACGCTTAAAATTTTATAAGATAAAGTATAACATTATTTGTTATTGACATAGATAACTTAGCATAGAACATTGGCAAAACAATTTTCAAAACTCTTCAATCACAATAAGTAGCGAACCGTTCTTGTTTTTCAATGTTATATTTCCGGCATGACTTTCTAAAACGAAAAAACTCGTTATTAGTGAGTTCGATTCAAATGAGAAACTTTTCTTAAAATTTTGAGTCCCAAGTACTTACTTCTGCGAGTATATCTTACAAAATTTTATGAATTATACATGGCGAATGTACCCTTGAAAATAGGATTAATTTTTAAATAAAGCAAAACGAAGACTAAAACAAAGTAATATAAATTTTCTACAGTATCTGGAGTCTTGACTTTCTGTCTGAAGAATTCGGACTTCGTCACATGCTAGTTGAAATGTAACCGCGGAATCGTCACACGGTGTATTTTTAATGCCGTCATCACACAAAACTTCAAAGTGGAAAACGAAACCCATATATATATCCCACAAAACTTTTTAAAATAAAAGTAATAGCTTTCTAGCGACTAGAGATGTACAGATACAACTTTTGTCGCCAATACCGATCTGATACCAACTTAAAACGACGATACCGATATTCCGATAATGACATATTGATACCGATCTTTTTTCATAATTACCATGTAATATTAAAAAAGTCAATATAAAAATTTGGCAGCGAAAATGGTCAAATTAGTTGAACTAGTTGAAAGTTTAGAAGTACCTGGTTCAGCAGTAAGAGGAAGGCGATTTTTTTGACAACAGCACGAAAAATAGAAAAAAGAGAATAACAAAACGATCCATAGGTCCGCCTATAAGCGAACACATTTCCTGATTTGTTCGTTCAAACATGGGCCAACAGGCACGTTCATTCTATTGAAGCGACTTAAGACCGGTCCACGCTCGACTTCAGATAATAAGTTTTGTTTCACTTTTTGCGACTACTGGTATTTACTGTTAGTTAGAATTATTTTTTCTCGTGATATCGTTTATAAAATATTAACAAATTATGATCGTTACATTATTACCAGTTTACCTCGGGTATAAAACCAAGTTAAATAATTTGTCATGTATGCAAAAAACAGAATTCATAAACAATTTCGTGAATCATCTTGTAATATTACAGGCATATTCACAATCAGTTAGTCTATTGCGTATATTCACAAAACATGAACAAGTAAGAACTAAAAAGAAGTTGATTAAAAAAATCCTTTAATGCATAGTAATATTAAAATACTTCACAAAATTTTGTACAATTCCAATATAAGTTTTAAGAGAGCATAATTAAACATAACATAAAAATAATATATATACTTAAAATATGAGTTCAACTCATCACCAAGGTCAATTTATCTAATGGTCCTAAAATCCTCCCTTAAATAATATACAAGTCAATTCGAAGTAGAGAGTATAGTGCTGGGCTTTCCAACCTTTTTTTTTGATATGGACACCTACATTTTTGTTCAAAGTCGTATGGAACCCCAAGTGTTTATCCAAGTTAAACCACTTGCTGTCTTAATAGAACTATTAAATTTTAGTGTACTCTGTATTATTACCATATTCAATTTTAGACTGGCAGGCAGTATGCCTGTGTATCTTGCTTGTTGAGTTTGGGCGTTTCATTTCGTTTACCAAGTTTGCATATTTGTTTCGTCGATTCGAATTTTCAATATTCTACGATCAAAACACTTCAGCTGTGATATGTTTGTTTAGATATTTACCTTTTGAATTCGAAAGCCCATGACAACTCGCATAAATCGCGGCGGTTTTGTCACCATGCTGCCCGGTTTCTTAATACCAGTACCCAAAATGTAATTTAAGTTTTTAATTTTATAACAAAATTTATTGGTAGAAAGACTAACAAAAATTTCTGGGAGAACCATGTGGCTGCTTGTTATTCATGAGGACAAGCCACTAATGCGAAGCCTCATTTCAGCAGTATCGTTCAAATACATGCTCCTTACTT